TCGTCAATTTCCGTGTAATTAACATGTAATTTTATTTTAATGGCAGATTTATCGCCAGTCTTATCGACCGCTTGCGACGAAATATCTATTGCTTCTTTACGATTAATAGATTTATCATCTTTAGATTTATTCACGGAGACTATATTACTTTCGCTTATATCTTTTATATTTATTTTATTTTGTATCTCGTCATTAAATATTGAAATTGCTTCACATCGCTTTAGAGTGATACCTCTTTTATTACTAAATGAAATTCCTTTAAGATTACTTATGTTTTTCTTATTATCATCAACAATATATTCAATATTCTCAATCTTCTCTAAGTCAGTAAGTAAAAAGTCAGTTACGGAATCAGAGATTATGTTAGTAAACTTTTCGCTTTCGTTATCAGGAATGCTTTTTTTCTGATTGTTTTCTTTAGCAATTATATCCAATATGTCGTCAAGTTCGTCGTCATTTTTCATCACGTAAGGTACCATTATCATGTTTGTAAGTACAATATCACGTATCTCGTTATTGGTAGATTCTTCCTTTGGAACAAATGTCGAAATATCTACATAACTTTCCGAACTCACTTTGATATTTTGATTTGCAGCTTCAATGCTCGATGCGCCCTTTCCTTTCGTGAAACTGTTCGAAATGTCGTCCATATGATCCAAGTTTTCGGATTCTGAGTCCTCTTTTTCTTCTTCTACCACTCCAGTGCTAATTTCGCTCTGAGGTACCTCGAATGAATCAGATGTCGCCCAATCGTCTTTGTCCCGAGAAATATTTCCCGCGCTAATTGTATGCGATTGATCTTGTTCGACATTAGATACTGTTATTGTCGAATTTACAGTATTGTCGGGCATCGACGTTTGAATATCTTTAACGCGCTGCAAATTACTTGATATTCCCGTGTCATCAATGTTACTAATTTCGATTCCTAATAATTCAAGATTCTTCTCTGATGACTTCAAGTCTCCGCTGGTGACAATGTGTGAAGTTTGATTTGTATGTGAGCTATGTGTTTTCTGTGAATTTGTTTCGTAGCTTTCCTTCGAACGGTGACCAGCAACAATGGGAGAATTCGTCGATATAGCGCTCGATCGTTCGGAGAACTTCGGTGAATGAATTATACTTGCTTGATCCGTTATGAGCTCCTCTTCTATATATGCTTCGTTTAGATCGCTTTGCACACTTGCGTTTTCTTTCGAGCCACCAATGATCTGTGTTGCGCTGTTTGTCGCGTGATTAAGACTTTTCCTACTTTCCGATACTTTGGAGAGAATCTCGGAAATCGATTTTACATCGAGCTCCAATGAGATCAGATCGTTCAACAGTTCTTCATTATCCTTACGCAAGTTTTGCATATCATTTTCTAATACCGAGCTCACATTATAATCACCACGTACTACTTTATTGTGCTCCGACAATATGGATTTTTCAATTTCATTCATGATCTCTTTGCTCTTGGCTTCGTAATCAATCTCGTAAGCCACATTGGAGGGGGTGGGTGTTACTCCCGATATTACTGTCGAAATGTCATTATCTGCTCTCTCCGATATATATTTATCATGGCTTAAATCGTTAGAGGATTTAGATCTTCTTTCACTTATCAAAATGGAAGGAGATTCAGTATTAACTTCTTCCTCGGACGATACCACTTCCTTCTCTTTATCCTCAATATGAGCGACTCTGTCGCTGAAAACTGACTTGGACATTATCTCCGAAATATCTTGGGATGTACTTCTTTCATCGTTATCTACTTTGAACTCCTTATTCGTTTTATTACTGAAACGCGACATCATCTCTGAAAGCACTTTCAGCCCATTTTCCAGAGAGCTTATATTCTCGTTCAAATTCTTATTATTTAGCTGTAAGGAATCTAGTTTTTTTGAGAAGGTGAGTATATCGTGAGAACCAGCAGCGTTTTCCGTCGAATAGTCGGACTTGCTCGGAACAGATTTTGAGTAGTCAACATTACCCATTTCCTCAAGAATTTCAGATTGGTTCGCGAAAGTCTTTGACTGAGAACGATCAATGCTGGTACGACTAACTGGACTGTTGTTCGCTGACTCGGTGTTAATGGTACTGTGATCTTTGACATCTGATATCGTCTGCATCCCCAATTCTGACCGAACCGTACTGATAATCGTTTGAATATTTTCTGCATCATGCAATATGCTATTTTGTTTTGTCTCAATAGTAACGGATTCTACGAGCTGCTTCTTGTCCGTGTGTAATGCAGGAACAATGTATTTTTCGGGACGTGCATCATTCGACGACGCTGAAGTAGCTGCTTGAAGTTTACTGCTGATTTCTGTGGATGTACATTCTTCAAACATAGACCGGGCGCTTCGATTAGTATCCGTACTCTTTGATTCCGAAGCGTTCGTGCTTTTGATATCCGTGGATCTCGCAGATTTCTGATAACTGTTCCTCTCGTGCCTATCATCGTATATTGCGGCAGTCACAATCTTCAACAAATCCCTCTGCTGATTCTTCGTTGACAAAAGGTCAGACTCCGACCTAGATCTCAGCAGATCGCTGCTCTTGTAGAGGTCTTGTATTCTCTTGAGCGGTATTTCAGGTACTTTGAAGTCAGCCAACGACTTTGGCTCTATAGCTAACTTATCACTGTCTTTAATAGCTTTCTTCGATTCTAACTTCTTGCGCATCTCGTGGATAGTCGTGTCATACTTCTGTCAAATAGAAAAAGAGACGTTTTATAAAAAATACAATCTTGATAATATTATCTTTCACGTGCACTTACCTTAATTTGATTTAGTAGATTTGCTTCCATAGCACGTAGTCTTTGCTTGGCCTGCTTTCTCGCTTCTTTTTTTAAACGCGACATCTCTACACGTCGTTCCGCCAATTTCTCAGTAAGAATTTCTATTCTTCCCTCAACGTCGCTCATATCAGACGAAACAGTGGTATCTACAAAAGGACGCGTGTGACTCTCTAATTGCAAATGAAATTTTGAAATATGTAGAAGTTATGCTCTTATTTGATACTTAATCGATATTTAATGGAAACCAGAAAGAATTAGACGATATTTTCGAACAAACTAAGAGAAATCGATCTTTCTTTAAAAAAAAAAAAGTTCAAAATAGTTAAGATTTTGTTCTTCATAATACACAAGGCATCTGTATCTTTTAAATTACTTGCATATATCACTATTACGATGTAATCACTCTAAAATCATTTTCTAAACAGTATACAGTATAAACTGTATACAATGTGTAATGTGTGCACACCATATTACCTTGCTGAGATAAGACGTTAGATGTTGCCGCGACAATTTTCAATGCCGCTTGCTCCATGCGATTCACACGTTCCTCTTCTGCTCTTAACCTTGTGTGCCACGCCATCCAGTCCTCGACGGTATTCTTCCGCGATGCAAGCGCAGTTTCACGTGCAGTTAAGATTCTGAGGATAACGAACAAGTATGTACGGACCTAAGAATATTTTGAATACGTGCGTGCATGCCTGACATGCGGATTGCTTCTGCATAGAATCTATTTTTACAATGCTTTACTTGATGCGGTGTGAATGTACAGTTTATTATTAGACCACCCAACATATGACTTTAGTGATTCAAGATATTATTAGCAGGACGGATCTCATATCGCGTTTAATGGTATTTCGAAAAGACACACATAACATCGAAGCAGAGAGGAAAAAATAACATTACATTCGCGTGTATACATGTTACTTATGTTACTTACTGTCCAAACTTCTTTGCTTTAAAATTTCTATTTTGCGGTCTAAGGACTACGGAGAGATTTTTCTCGCTTTCCTCAGAGCTGTGATGGGAAATTGTAAGAGCACTAAATTGAGACGTGGATATATTTTGAACAGCCTGTTCGTTCCTAAATGAATGTTCATTGTTTTCGAGTTTTCTGTCCGATTCTTGACTGGATACATTCTCCTTACTTTCGTTATAATCGTTAATTGCCTCACTTAGTAACTTCAAGTTCTTATCTTTCACTTCTTTTGAATGTCTAACTAGCTCCTGAAGTGAATTTTGACTTTCGTTAAGATCCAATTGGTCCAAGATTGAACTTTCGTTATTGTTGTCTAACTGAGGCAGCTCACTCTCCATTCTTGTTCGTTTATCATGATGTTTGACAAACTTCTCTGATACGTGAGAACTAGCTTTGGATCGCAATAGATTTTCCATTAATATATTGGAAGATGATTTTGTTTTCTGATGCTTGGAACTTTTGCGTTTGGAGCTTGCTTTTAACTCGATGCTATGCTGCAATTTCTTAGAAACATGATCCCTATCACTAATTGATTTATCAATCTTTTTCGAGTTCTTAGTGTTATTTGTTTGTAATATATCTTCAGAAACTTGCGACGATTTTGTTGCTTTCGAAACAGTGTCTTGTATCTTTGAATTTAGTTCTTCTATAGATTCGCTATTGATCGTTGCAATATTGACAGCCAGCTCTTTCTCTTTTGAGACTGTCGCCATCTGAACAAAAGGGTTTACTACTTGCGATATTTTCGATTTTTTAGATAATTCTTCCACTAACGTATCAGATTCCGATTTTACATGATCAGTTACTACCGCATCTAACCCCAATATCGGCGATGATACCTCAAATGGTTTTTGATTTTCCAAAAGTCGTTTCATACCCATAGAATGACTCTGAATTCGTTTTGATTCGAGGTCGAGCTGACTCTGCTTTTGTCGCAAAATGTCCGCCTTGGGCATTTTTTCTTCATATTTTCGAGACTTTGACTCATACTTGGACATATCGTTTTTCTTCTTCAGAGAATTTTCCTCGTGTGATTCATTACTTTCAGCCAAATCGTCAAATCTGGTCGCCGACGTATTAGATTCCTCGGCCAAATTTTCACATTTATCAGACTTGGCAAGATCGGGCTTGGACAAGTGTATGTCGCTCTCGAATGCATGCAGACGTGCGTCTGCTTGAGATCGATCGTGCTGAGATTTATCTGAATCAATCAAGGAACTTATAGAACTATTACTGCGTATATCGTAACCCTTCATAGGACCTGATGATCTTCTTGGTGATTGACTATCGGCGCTCCTCTTTAATTTTGTTAAGATATTTTTTGTCGATAATTGTGGGTTAAACATGTCCCTCTGCTTTTGTAACATAAGCTTTCGTTCCTGGCTCGCAATTTCGTGCAATTCCTTTAATCTGTAAATAAAGAACTTTTTTTTATATATAACAGTACTTATATAATAAATGCGAATACTATATACCTGTTCATCTCATCTTTCTCTTCTTTTAATTTCAAAAGTAAAGCTCTCTGTTTCTTTTTCACGGAACTAACTTCACTGTCTTGTCCTGTATCTCTTAATGCACGTTTTTGCTCTTCTAATCTTACCAACTTTTTAGTTCTATCGTTCAAATTCTTCTCGTGATCTTTAAATAACATTTCTAATTTATCATATCTCTGTTTTTCATCTCTTATCAGCTGCGCTAACTACAAAAAAATGTAAGAATGATACAATATCTAATTATGTATACACATAGATTCAAACATATAAGAAGTATACTCACATGTAATTGTAAGTACTTCTTAAATTCTTTATTCTTAACCAAACACGTTAAGTCTCGAGTTGAAATACTAATTTCATTTCCCGTTTCTGTTTTTATCGACGAGGTAGTTTCGTGTAAACTAATCTCTGACATGGTTATTCTACTGGGCACCGATATCCCTTCTATTTGATCCAAATCTTCGAATTGTTCAACCGAATCTAAAGACAGATGAGGACATTCGTTCTCTCCTAAGGATGATCGTTCGTACATGTGAATGTCAGATAATTTATTTTGCGCGTTCCGTTTGTCCATGTATACATCCGTTTGCGTTGCCATATCATTTACAGTTTGAGTTTGTACTTCTGCTACTTTGATAACTTTGGCTTTAAAATTATCACTCGTTTCATCAATATTTGCTTGGTTCAAAGCATAATGCTCCCTAATATAATGCACGTCGTCGCATGCGTGTGATTTTCTCGGATTTGCAACATCCTTTCTCGCGTAGTCCAGTAGTTTCCATGTTGCTGTAAGAATGTATAGCATAAGAAACATAATATGCTAGTGTACTTTTATATATTTACATTATAATAGGTCTGTTCTTTTGCTCTGCACTGCTGCACTGGTGCAGAGTGAAAGAACAGACCAAATAGCAGCTATATATTTTTAGATTACAGTTACATTTTAGTTACTATATACTAATAGCTTCTTACCATTTTCAACAAAATCGTTATCAACTGTAGCAGTCACTCGACTTTCTTCAACTCGTATCTCTTCACTTTTCTCATTTTCTATTTGTGGATTCTGCTCTTCTTGTTCGCGTTTCATACTGTGGAAGTATTTTTCAACTTCATTGGCATTGTTGTAAACTTCATTAAGAGATTCTAAGAATTCGCATTCTGCCTGAAATGTCATACGCAGGGCTTCTGGATGTCTCTGAATTGTAAAATGAGAGTTTACTTTTTCAAATATACACTAATATGAGTAAACAAACAAATGTACCAATATATTTGTACTTACTAATTGTGTCTTTTCTTGCTCTTTCTCAGATTTTGTTGTTGATTTATATTTTGGACATCTTGCATCTGCTTCTGAATCACTGCTTTGTATAAAATATCTTCTTTGTTTATGTCTGGGCATAAAATCCGATTTGTCTGGTGTGGTTAAATTGTGAAATTCTTCTTGTTGAGAATAACTGTTATCCCTGAAAGAAATTTTTCTAGGATCGAACAATTCCTCTGGTAATATACTGACATCCACATCATTTGTATCATCATTAGTAGTTGTTTGTCCAGTTGTAGTGATACTATGAGAATATGACTCCTTGTCTTTTTTAGCAGTTGTGCTTGTGGACTGTGTCACAGAATGTTCTGTATATTTCAAATTCTCTGAGATTTTAGCTGATCTCATAGAATTAATGTTCTGCTTATTTTCCACCGTTGTTTCACTATCTTCATTCTTTGATTGCTGTATAGAACTTATCGGATAAACACTCGTACGATTCTTGGAGCTGTTTGTTTCAGATGTACACTCGACATCATCTGATGGTTCAGAAATAATGCTATGTATCTTTCCTTCAATTTTACTAGATAAAGTTTTACCCTTTTCAGATATTCTTTTTATTTGCTCCTTATGTATAATATTTGGTTTATCTTGTTTTAATTGTCTATTATCTGAATCACATTTATATTTTAAGTCTTCTACTTGCCTCAAATGGCAAATATCTTTAGGTTTATTTTCAATATTGCTAGACAAAACAGTCGTGCCACTATTATCTCTCGTCGTAACTTTATCTGTTATTTTCCAAGATACAGAATCCGATACTTTGTTACCACACGTTCGTCCCTTTGATTCTAAAGGAATGTCTTTTGCTAATTCTATAGATTGTGCATTAAAGGACCTTTGTCTCTTCTCATTATCTTTCTTAGCAGTAGACGTTACAAAAGTTTTAATTTTAGATTTTGTTGACATAGAATCATTATTTCTTATAGTATGAAAAGATAATCGGTCATTCTTCAATCTTGTCGTTATGAAACTACTATCAGCCATTTCTCTTCTAGAGACATGCCTCGGACTTCTGCTGCGTTTTACTTGCTCTTGTACAGACTCATCTTTCTTAGCACATAAGGAATCATCTTTTTTTATTCTCTTAGATCTATTTTCTTTTTCTCTGGAACTATCCCTGATGTGTTCCTTTTTTTTGCTCAGATTAGAAGCTATGGATACATTTGGTGCTTTCAATGGTTCTATGCTCTCACAATTAATGGTTGATGGTCCATCTGAAGAGGAAAAATCTAATTTCCTTTGTACTTTCTCGCCAACTTTTGACGTTTTGTCTGATCTATCGTGTGATAATTCTTTTATGGCTATTTCAGACTTTGTTAAAGGCAGCTCTTTTGAAATAGAATTTTCTCTACTAGAAAAGTCCAATGTTTTTGGAGAAATTTTCAAATCTGGTACTTTGAGTGGTTTAAAAAAATCCATTTTTTGTACAACTTGATATGGATTCTGTTTAAGATTTGTTTTCAATACTGGGGATATCAGATTGTTTCTTGCCTGTGAGTTTAAATAATGTGTTTCTATGTTGTTATTAGGTGGAGCTCCTAAAGCAAGTTTTTGTTTGACAGCACTAATAAATGTAAAAGGATATGGCTGTATAGGATGATACGATAGCAAATTTTCTAAACTTCTTATGCCAGATACAGGAGCTGGCAAGTTAGTTGATTGTTTTTCAGAAACTTGATGTTGTACTTCAAGATCTCGCCTAATTTGAGCTTCCTGCAATAAAAATATTATTTAGATTATATGCAAATTTATACATGTATACGATACACTTATTTATATAAGTTAAAAAGAAGAAGTAGAAACTACTCACAATAGCAGTGGTTTCTGCACGTTTTGCAATAACATCTGGATCCGAAAAAAAAACATATCCTTTTTTATTATCAGACTCCTCTTTCTGGCAACTACTCTTCATATCTTCATTCTTCAACCATGTAGATAGCATCCCATAAAACGTATATATTATCTATCCACATTCCTTATGCGTGCACGTAATTGTGGTGAGCGTACAAAAGTTGCGCAGCTACAAAGATTACAATCCATTTTAATAGATTGTACTGAAAAATTACCTTCCGATTGTTTAAAACATCTTTACGCTTAACCTAATTGTCTCGTTGTCAACGCTTCTCGCAACATTGCCAGTCATTTGTGATTTCGATTTAAAAAAGTAAAGACTCACCAAAACGCGAGATCGATTATTTTGCAATGTTTAACAAGCGTACGTCGCACGCGATCACAGCGTTCTCAGCAGTTTCTCACAACGGTCGTTTGTAAACTGCGATCACGTGGTACGACAGGACTTGCTACTTGTTCGATGCGATGAAACATGGCAACGACGAGGACTACACTGACGAGTGAATGATCGATAATAATACGAAGGTGAAACATGAGGAGACGCGTACACCTGGCGGAAAATGCCACATGACAATTTTCGTGCAGATTATACGCGCACGATAATAATACGCCCGGCGTATTGTTTCACCATGATTGAGTCGCGCGTACGGTCGTATTATTTTGACGTTCCGCAGGATGTCTCTTTCTCCCTCTTCTACTCGTTCCAAATAGCCGTAAAAAAACTGCGTAAACTCGACGTATACGCGTATGCGCCGTACACATTCCAGCGGCGCGACGTATGCCCGACATATGCATCCGGTTGAACTGATCCGGTTGATTCGACCAATCAGGAGCCGCTGACAATGTATCCTTACGACGATTGGCTTGATTGGTCTTGTGTCACCTCTATATTGCGACAACGGCGCCACCGGTCCTTCAATTCAAAAAGGTAACGGCTTAGTTTTCACGTTACTCACGACAGCGACACTCGTATTTCTTTCGTGCAATAAATTGATGTTTTGCGAAAACTCGGGTATGTATTTAGCATATATGCGTGTGTAGTGCATAATTACAAATTACTATATGCTATTTTTTTCTCTGCAGAATAAAGACAACTTCGTAACGATGACCGATAAACCTGAGTGGCAGCCGATGTGGCAGAAGACCATTGTTACGCTAGAAGAAGCGCTTAACACATTGCAGAATACTTGGAAAAATTTAGGATATGTCAAGGAGACACGGGCAATATATTACGAACAAGCGTACAGTCATATAAAAGACTTGTTGAATGACATGATAACTGAGTCGCAGACGAAACAGCAGCAGCTATTGGAGAGCATAAAGAACCTGTTGAAGCAAACTACAGCATTGTACGCAGAACTGCATCTGGATACAGTACCCAATACCTATGATCAAATTCCCTTGAGCAAGGTAGAGCAAATGTTGCGTACAGATCTGCAAAATCTTGAACGTATGAAGAAAGAACGCCTGCTGAAGTTAAAAGAATTATTGGCAAAGGAACATGATATCAGCACAAAGATTGGTACTAAGAGATTAAGCATCACTACGAATATCGTGCCTACTGAAGAAGAACTTAATAGTTTTAAGTTATATCTTGAACAACAAGAGAATGAAAAGAATCGTTTGGAGAATGTTTTTACTGATATGCGTTGCTCTATAATTAAAATGATGAATGATCTAGATATAACTCCATCTTCGTCATTTGAGCATTTAGTTTATGATAGTCCTGAGGAGTTTGTGCTAAATACAAGCAACATGACAAAATTGAGAGATTTCAGGGATCAGCTGAAAACACAAGTGGAGGAAACAAAAGAACATGTGGAAAAAATGAAGGAAGATCTACTGACATTGTGGAAGTATCTTGATGAACCTGAGACTTGTCACTCGTTTCTTGAAAAATATCCTGGTTATTGTAGTGCTACTGTAAATGCTTTAAATGCAGAGATCAAACGCTGCAAGGAGAAAAAGAAGGAGAATATTTATAAATATGTTGTGCAGTTGAGATTTGATTTGGTTAATCTGTGGGACTTGTGCAAATACAGCGAAGCAGAGAGAAACTCGTTTGCAGCATTTCATTCTAATACATTCACAGAGGATTTGTTGACACTGCATGAAATAGAAGTGGATAAATTGCGCAAGTTTTATAATGACAACCAAGTGATATTTGAACTTTTGGAACAACGTGAAAATCTCTTGAAAAAAACAAAAGAATTGATTCAGCGAGAAAATAATCCAGACCGCTTTCATAATCGTGGAGGCCAATTGTTGATGGAGGAGAAGGAACGCAAGGTGATACAAAAGAAGTTGCCCAAAATGGAAGAAGAATTAAAGCAGTTGATAAATACATATGAGAACAAACATAATTGCACATTTACTATCTATGGTGTATCATTGGAAAATATCTTAGCAGATTCATGGGAGGATATCAATCACGAAAAGGAGACCATCAGGAAAGGCAGGAGGGAAGCAAAAGAAAAATCTGTGAAAAAATCACCTTTAAACAGCTCCAAAAGGACACCTGGTATGTCCTACTTGAGCATTCATAAAGGCCCAGTTCTGGGATTATCAAAACGAAAATTGTTCAGCCCATCTCCCAATACATCGGCGAAACGCAGAAACAAAAATGGTGACAAAAATAAGCCTACTGTTTCTGCATCTAAGATAAGAAGGAGTGGTAGACTAACAAAACACACCCAAAAAGGACATAAGAATACTCCTAGGAGAAGCAAGGGTTCATCGTCAGCCAATAACAGCATAATGGACACAACATACAATCAATTCCAAGGTCACATGACAAGCCGAGAAGAATTGCACAGTTCGATGATACCAGAACAGATACTGAAAAATGCCACTAAGGTTAACATCAAGACACCTGTGCGAACGCCTGCGAAACCGTTGAGAAAAAATCTTACCACCCTTATGACTCCCACTCACAATTCTACGCGTAAAACGCCTCATAGCCCTAGAATCATTAATACTCCTAAATTAGCAACAGCCCCCAGTAACTTACCTATTATTATCTAAATATGCTTTTAAGATAATGGAAACGCAAAATAAATTTTATCTACGAGAGTTACCTGAAAAGTAATTCAATTTTAACGACATAATCATGCTAATATAAATAATTAATATAGATCACTGTTTGTGGTAAAATTTAAAAGTAACATACAGATTGCTTTTTATACAGCCATATGCAGTGGAGATTAATTTATAAGTATTGGCTTAATATATATGCGTTATACATTATTTGCGTTAATATGTTCGATAAAAGCAACACTTCAGTTTTTTGCGATATTACTGTTTCAATAAACAGAAGTGTAATCCAATGCAATTTTTATATGCAGCTGATATATATATTAAGTAAATAGAAGTGATTGCGTGATTATCATATTCACCTTCAATTCAACAATAATTCAATCTACTTTTCTTTTTTTACTTTAAGGCAACAAGAGAAATATGATTCTTGTCCTTTCTGAACAATACTTTGCACAAAACCTTTTCAATAATTATTTATAGTGATACTTCAAATATTTTTTTAAGAAATGTATGATACAACCCGATATTTTTTCTGATTACATTTTAATATATATTAAACAATATATATTAAACGGAGAAAAATGTATATTATTAATATACAATATCTCATTGTATCATCGAAGTTGTTATTTGTCTCAACAAAACTAGATTTAACAGTTGTTAGGTAAAAAATAACATAGGTTATAAACATTATTTATAATTACATTGTATACATCGCGGATTGTATTTACGTGTTTGTATTTGTATATGTAATTAGATTGTATGGAGAAAGAAAATAAGGCAGAAATGTTACTGTAGCTTTAACACATGTAACTTTAATGTAGATAAGATCTATAATAATGTTAAAAAGATACAATGTATTTTCGTAAATACTAACAACGGTTTTAGCATAAATAAAAAGGATGCACAAGATAATGCTATTAAGATTCCTCAATAAATATACTAAAATATAAATCTATTATAAAATATACTATATTTTTTCAAATATAACAAAGCAAAAGCATATTATTTGAAATATTAATAGCGCACTCTGGCGTTTGATACGGGAGATAGTTGGATTATAGTAGATTAGGGCTGCGTTCCGAAATTCACCAGTACTGAAATTCTATAGTATATGTGACATGAACTATAGATTTTCAGTACTGGAAGTAAATTTCGGAACGCAGCCTAGGTTGGGTGGACGTGGTAGATGGCGTTGGGGCAGATGTGCCTGGAGCCATATATTGAAGGAAGGAAGGGATGGTGAAAGGGCCACTGAGAAAGGTCTACAACCAGAAAGAGAGAGAGAGAGAGAGAAAGAGAGTGAGGAGGAAGGAAGGAAAGAAGGAAGGTTGGGTGGACGCATTCGTTCTTTTCGAAGCGAACTCTCGTTAGGATTTGTTGGATAGAATTTCGTGGCTGATTGTCTGGGAAGATCTTGTTTTCAACTAACGAATAAAGTGCTGCAGCAACGAGAAAATCGGAAATGGGTGATATAAAATCCTTTTTTCACCAATGGTGCGCAAAGAACGGTAAAGAACCGCAGTTCGACGTTCGTCCAACAGGTAATATCAGTGCTGGAAAAGTTAGGTTATCATTTTGCTACAAAATTATATGTGTAACTTTTATGTATCACAGGACCGAAGCATAGACAGCGCTTTCTTTGCGAGCTGCGAATACCCGGATTTGACTATGTCGGCGCAGGCAATTCTACTAATAAAAAAGACGCACAAGGCAACGCTGCCAAAGATTACGTTAATTACTTAGTTCGTACGGGTCGTGTGAACTCGAACGATGTACCAAGAGAAAATCCAACGGTGCAAGCTGCATCATCAAATGATGGCAATACGAATGATCCAATCTCAATGCCAGTAAAATCAGTCTACCAAGGAGGCATGGGACCAAATGACATTGGTCAAGCTTACAGACCTTATAATGAACATGGTCAGAGTAACTACACATACATGGACAGATTGGCGGACCAGAAGAAGGTGGAAGATGCAGAGGATGTTGATGTGAATTCTGGCATACATGGCAATTGGACAATTGAGAATGCAAAATCCAAACTCCACCAGTTTATGCAAACTAACAAAATTAACACAGATTACAAGTATACTCCGGTTGGTCCAGATCACACGAGGTATGGTGTCTTGCAATGGAGTCCTTTTCTAGGACTGGAGTTACAATGCAGTGACATTAGTTGAACTTATATTTTGTGATTGCCTTCCAAAAGATTATTGATTGTTGTGCCATTTGAAATTTTACAAGACCACTTTGGAGTACATTATTCGCTTATGCACATCCAAAGCTGGTGCAAGAGAGCAGTTATTAACTCTCTTGTGCACAGATAACGGTGATGGTACTTATTACCAAAACTTTTATTAAAGTGAAATTTAATAATGGTTTTGGTGCAATTATCCCAAGGAACTTTTTTCAATGTACTCCAATCTGGTCGTCTGTGACATCTTCAAATGGTAAGTTATTTTTATCTGTGTCAATTAATTAAGGGAATAAATAAAACAAACAATATAAACTCAATTGTTTCAGATAGTGACATGATTAAATATTTCTTTATATATATATATTTCTTTTTATATATATATATATATATATATATATATATATATATATATATATATCCTTGTTTTCAGCAAATTCTATAAAAAATCATTTGATTCTTTTGTTCCCTTAATTATTAATTGCAGTGATAATGCATAATATGTATGTTGTTTATATATATGTTTATAATAAAACGTATCTTTCACAGGAGTTTTATGGCAGAAATGTCGATTTATGTTGCCCAACTTGGACGAAGTATGTTAATTTTCACATATAGAAATATTGAATCATATATTAGATCAAAATTATGTAATGTTATAATATGCATTAGGTATCACTGGTCGTGAAACAGGATCAAATAAGCAAACAGCTTCAAAAAGTTGTGCTTTGTCTATTGTTCGTCAATTATACCACTTAGGTGTCATTGAAGCATTTAGCGGTACATTAAAGAAGAATAAAGATACTGAATTACTGAAACCTTATCCTGTTAAAATATCACCAGATCTAGAAAATCAAATCCATGAATTACTAACAAAGTTGGAGATAGAACCAATTAATATTATCAAGGTATTGATCATCATTTAATTGATATGTTACAAATTGTGTTATGTGCATTATAGTTTGCTGTTTTTACTAAATTAGATTAGGTCTAATTAGATTAATGATTAAAACTAAAGTATTTATTCATATAATATAGCATTCACCAAAAATGGAACGTAATCACTCAAGTATTGGTGGTATATCTTTGTTGACAAATCAAGTCTTGGATGATTTTAAATCATCTGTGCCACAACCTGCTGGTGTTGTAAGCTGGTCACCACCTCAGCCAAATTGGAATCCATGGACGGGATGTAATATCGACGAAGGACCTTTGGCAACGACGTCTTTAGATAAATTATCGGAAGATCTGATGAATGAACAACGGGTCAAGTTGCAAGATGATTCCAACTTGCAGGCGAGAATCAAAGCTAGATCGAGCTTGCCTGTTTTCTTCAAGAAAAGCGAAATTATGACCGCTATTAATGAAAATCCGATTGTCATTATACGCGGTAACACGGGTTGCGGCAAAACTACGCAAGTTTGCCAGTTTATTCTAGACGATTACATCGCGTCCAGCCAAGGCGCATATTGCAGTATAGTTGTCACCCAACCCAGACGAATCTCGGCGGTGTCCGTAGCCGACAGAGTCGCTGCAGAGAGATGCGAGAGTTTGGCACAATCGGTTGGATATTCTGTGAGATTTGAATCCTGTTTGCCGAGACCTTACGCCAGTATAATGTTTTGTACCGTAGGAGTACTCTTGCGAAAGTTGGAAGGTGGTCTTCGAGGCGTGTCGCACGTTATCGTAGATGAGATTCATGAGAGGGATGTCAATTCTGATTTTATCATGGTAGTACTTAGAGATATGATACACATGTATCCCGATCTCAGACTTATTCTTATGTCGGCTACGATCGATACCACGCTGTTCAGCGACTACTTCAACAATTGTCCTGTGATAGAGATACCTGGTAGAGCGTATCCCGTGCAACAATTTTTCTTAGAGGATTGTATACAATTGACGAAGTTCGTCCCACCGATGATTTCGGGCAAACGTAAGTCAAAGGATACAGACGATTTACCGTTGGACACAGAACCAGACGAAAATTTGAACAAAGTCATTGATGACAAATATACGTTCCAAACGAAAAATGCTATGGCGCAGTTAACGGAGAAGGAGATAAGCTTCGAACTAATAGAGACGTTGTTGAAATACATAAAGACACAAGATATTCCAGGCGCCGTGCTGATCTTCCTTCCCGGCTGGAATTTGATATTCGCGCTAATGAAGCATCTTCAGCAGCACCCTGTCTTCGGTGGATCGTCCTATTTCGTCATTCCGCTGCACTCGCAATTACCTAGGGAAGATCAACGTAAAGTCTTTGATCCTGTACCGTCTACCGTAACGAAGATCATCTTGTCTACAAATATCGCAGAAACTTCAATTACGATCGATGATATTGTTTACGTCATAGACTCTTGTAAAGCCAAAATGAAGCTATTCACGTCTCACAACAATATGACCAATTACGCGACTGTTTGGGCCAGTAAGACGAATTTGGAACAACGCAAGGGTAGAGCGGGCCGTGTTAAACCCGGTTTTTGCTTTCATTTATGCTCAAGAGCCAGATTCAATAAGATGGACGAACATATGACACCAGAAATGTTCAGGACACCTTTGCACGAACTAGCCTTGAGTATTAAACTGTTGAGATTAGGCAATATCGGGCAATTCTTGTCGAAGGCAATCGAGCCACCTCCTATCGACGCAGTGATCGAGGCGGAAGTTATGTTAAGAGGTATATCTCTCACTTTGCAACATATCTTTACTTTTTCTTTAGAGTCACTCTACTTACGAGATCTTTTCACAGAAATGAAGTGCTTAGACAATAACGACGAATTAACCCCTCTTGGTAAGATTCTGGCACGCTTACCGATAGAACCGCGTCTGGGGAAGATGATGATCTTGGGATGTATGTTTCGCGTTGGTGATGCGCTCTCGACTATGGCTGCCAACAGCACCACCTTTCCCGAAGTATACAACATGGGTCCCGACGTGAGGAGATTAACTATGCAGCAAAAATGGTTTGCTGGCGCGAGATACAGCGACCACGTCGCGATGCTGCACGCTTTTCGGGCGTGGGAGGAAGCGAGAACTGGCGGCGATTACGCGGAACAAATGTTCTGCGAAACGAAGAATTTGAGCTTGCCTACTTTACGTATAACGTGGGAAGCTAAGGTTGGTAACTAAATCGATCATTTATCGAATGTCGCGCGGCGACGTTGTTTCTCGCATACGTGTCAGTAATGATAAATGTTTCTGCTTGTAGAATCAATTACAAGCGTTGCTGCAAAGCGCTGGTTTTCCCGAAGAAACTCTATGTCCAACACCGTTAAATTATCAAGCTGGCTCGGATGCCCGTCTTGACACAATTACCGCATTATTGTGCATGGGTCTCTATCCCAACGTGTGTTATCATAAGGAGAAACGGAAGGTTCTTACCACGGAATCGAAAGCCGCGTTGATTCACAAGACGTCGGTGAACTGCAGCAACTATGAACAGAACTTTCCGTTTCCGTTTTTCGTGTTCGGGGAAAAAGTAAATATCAGTAGAGATAATATGGACGATATACGATAAGTAATTTGATGCCTGCTTACTTACCGCTACCTTCTCTCGTTATCAGATTCGTACTAGAGCCGTGTCTTGTAAGCAAATGACCATGGTGTCGCCTATACATCTATTATTATTCGGCTCCCGAAAGGTGGAATACATAGACGGTGTGATAAGATTGGACAACTGGATCAATTTGGATATGAATCCGGAACACGCTGCAGCGATTGTCGCTCTACGACCTGCTTTAGAAAGTCTTGTCGTAAGGGCATCTAAGGATCCTGAAACAATTCTAGAGTTGAGCCCTATCGAAGAGAAAGTAAGAATATCATTAATTATATATTTATGACATAAGTAATATTTAACAAAAGATTACAATGAGAGTTTGTGATATTTAACGTAATAATATTTCCAATAATAAGAATCTTTTTTTTTTTAAATAATTATATTGATATAAGAATAATTATATGTCATTCTTGTTATCAGGTGCTGGACGTGATCAAGTCTTTATGTGGTATGAACGCTTGCCGTTATGAATTGGAACAGATAACTGGTGGCGGTTTTCAATCACGTCGCCCACCGCGACTTGATTTTCAACCTTCCAACTATAACAACCCTCCAAAATTAATGCGCGGAGATAACTACCGCAATTCATTCAGTAGCAATAATCATGGGAACTATAGCGGATACAGAGGAGGCTATAACAACTATAACAACAGGGGATATGGAATGAGTGGAGGGCGCGGTCGAGGAGGATACCGAGGCAATAGTGATGGATTTCGCGGGCGTTACTAATTTATTATTAAATCTATCTAGCAGGAAGAATGAGCTAATAGGAGCCTTATCGCAGTTTACTGCGGCAGGATTTTTATTAGCCATTCCTTTCTGCTTCTGTATTCTTTCTTAAGACAAAGATAATCTTACTTCACCATAAATAATTTATAGCTGTCATTGCTAGAGTAAAGTTAGATTTTTAGGTAAATTAGGTAATCATGTAATGTGGAATATAACTATTTATATGATGTGTGATTACAATTTGTTTTATTTTCTACATTAGAAATATTTAATCAGTGTTCCACATACGTCATATATGCACTGACATAGCAATTTAAATATAGCTTAAGTATTTCTTCTTTTTTTTTTTATATATGATTTTTAACCTTAAGCATATATATGTGAGATTAATGGTTATATAAATGATTAGTTATGATGCTAAAACAATTCTCTTGATGTGCAGTATGTAATTATATATTAATAAATATAAATATGATATATATATATATATATATATATATATATATATATATATATATATATATATATATATATATATATATATATATATATTTTCCTCAAGTGACAGTTCTTATTATATCGATTGAATTAAGGCACATACATAAGAGTGACAAACAAATTTACTCTATCACTAACATTCCGGCTTGTTTGAAAGCGATTATAATTGCGCCACGTGGATCTACTCGTCGATGATAACGCGTTATCAATTGGCCCGTGATCCACGCGCGCGCCGATGGCGTTGTCGGCTGATGCCGCAGCCACCTAACGGAAGTGAACCGAGATTAGGACAAAAAAAAGCAACATTGTCGGCCAGAGATGTCGTAGATCTATTTCCGAACACGTCGTCGGGGGCAAAGTGGACGGCAGGTCGTTGGCTGACGAAAAATGGCGAAAATTCGCGCAGTGTGAGAGTGATCGTCCGTCGTCGATTGACGGTTGTGTCGTACCGAAGTGGCGGATGAGACGCGGAGGAAAAAAGGACAGTCAAGAAATTCGCAATAATGGGCCGTCGCGACGACGCGTCGCGCGACCGTGAACACGACTGACTGTCACGCTTCGCGCTCGCTCGGAAGGACCAAAAAAAGTGATTCCGCGGCTCGGTGGTTGCGAAACGTCACGCGGAGTCGCGTTGTGACCTGCAACGGACTCTCTATCAGCTATTCATCCATCCATCCGTCCATTCGTTCGTTCATTCGTTCGTTCGTAAAACTCACGTTACAAATTTTCAATGAGTGACGTATGACAAGGACGACGATAAGACTACGGATAATGCTTGTTCATCTACGGGATCGTTTAGCTCGACAGTATCAGTACGCCTGACGTCGCATTTGAACGTCGTATTCGTCGTCCTCCGCGTGAACCTTGAACGTATTCGCGAGATTATATATATATATATACACACACACACATACACACACACACACACGCACTTTATATGCAGTTATGTGTTATCTGACGTTCGGCTTGCTGACGAACGTTGAACGTGGTGGATTACTGTTGAGTCGCGCTTGGCAGATCGAGCGAAGGGACGGTGTGGAAGGTGCTCCGACAGTCGGACCGACGTACGGTCAGAAATGCGCACTCGGTGCTTTTTAACGTCTCTGGAAGCGTTATCCGTTTAACTGGCTGTGAAAAGTGCAACGTAACTGTATCAAGCCCAAAGAGTTGAGTAATGTAAAGAGTTTTAGTTTCTTCGTTCATTACATTTGTTGCTCAAATTTCGCAGTAAACATATCTTGAAGTATTGATATTGCTTTGTAAAGTGCTATAATAATGTAGCTAATATGTCACTGGATTTATACTATAATAATATAAATGTGTTTATAAATTTGTTGTGCAAATTTATTATATTGTAACACAATGTTCTTCTGTGTTACTCTCTCATAGATATATAGATATATACATACACAAAACACTGGTCAAAATGGATCAAGAAACGGTCTACGGCACACATGAAGATAGCCATGTTGTCATGTCAGAGAAGGTGCAGTCTCTGGCAGGCAGCATTTATCAAGAGTTCGAAAAGATGATAGCCAGATACGATGAGGATGTAGTGAAAGACTTAATGCCACTGCTAGTCAATGTGTTAGAATGTCTGGATATATCTTATACTGAGAATCAGGAACGTGAAGTCGAACTAGAGCTACTAAGGGAAGATAATGAACAACTTGTCACACAATATGAAAGAGAAAAGCAATTAAGAAAAGCATCAGATCAGGTAATACTTCTTTCATAAATCAAGTTATCCTGGGATCTGTAAATTATATTGTGTTTAATATATATAATATATATAATTGTATCACATAATATATAATAAAACATTTTTCTATCAGAAACTCCTCGAACTGGAAGATGTCTCCGAAGATGAGAGAAAAGAGCTTCTGTCAAAAATTGATAGTTTGGAATCTATTGTAAGAATGCTGGAACTCAAGACCAAGAACTCACATGATCATGGTACAAATGTCAATGGCACTTCCAGTCTACCTATAGTTCTTTTTACAGTAGATTATTTTTTTCTTATTTATATTATGCATTATTCATATATATATATATATATATATATATATATATATATATATATATATATACACACATGTTCTGTAGTAAGAATTGTATATGAGAAATATGAGATTTAAATTGTTTTTCTCAGTTGGTCGTCTTGAAGAGAAGGAAGCGGAACTGAAACGCGAATATTCCCGGTTGCACGATCGATACACGGAACTATTTAAGACTCATGTCGATTATATGGAGAGGACTAAAATGTTGGTTGGCAGCACAGAAAGATTGGAAAGTGTGTCCGCTAGCCGTGCACCATCCAGGTTACCTTCTCTTGGGCTTGCTCATATGTCGCGTAGCTCTGGGCCGTTAAGTTATGGCTTCCAGAGTTTGGAAGCTAGTATAAATGCTGAAGATGTTCACGAGGATATCGTACCAAATGCCGCTAATTTAAGAACAGAAATGTTAGATAGTAGCAGTGAAGCTGCTATCGAAACCTCCGACAAAAGCCAACTAACTGATCAACCAATGCAAGAAAACAAAACTACAGCTATATCCAGACGTATGTTTTATCTTTAATAATACTTTAAGCATATATACAATATCTCTAGATTTCTCTATTCTATGTTTTAAAGTTCTAACTGTAATAATACATTTCTGTAGACGAGAGCCCGGAAACAGAAGTGCCGCCAACTCTAATTACACCAACAACACCTACTGTGGAGAAGTTTGCTACTACTCCTAGCGGCAGAAGCAGAACCGAAAGAGAACAACGAAGCGGCAACACGTTATATCAAGAATTAAGCTTCCAAGATGCCGATGCGCTCGGCGAGATGGACGAGGGAGCTGATATTACCGGTATTATACTATAACAATATTATTTTAAAGTTTCTCGCGAAACTAAACCAACTAACCATCCTCATGAAACTAACCAACTCATAATCTTTCAGGAAGTTTAGTTCATCCTGGCGAATACGCTTCATCAGGTATATCGGTTAGAAAGACGAGATCTTTCATTTATATATACGTTTTTTTGATCCATTCATCCATTTCTTCTTGAATTATAACATCTCTTTAACTTATATTTGTGTTCCATTGTTTGTACCTCCGCATTCTATGCTGGCTCGTGTCATATCTCCAACATACGATTGCATAACACTAACTCACTATGCAGTCAATGACAACTTCTTCGGTAAGATATATGCTTTTAATAAAATCTTATTCAAACGATATATGCGTAATGTACAATACGCATCTTTTTGCAATAATTAACATTATACCAAGATCAATAGATAAAATGGTTTTATTGTTTTCTACATGATAACTAGTTATCAATAGGAATGGAAAATCGATTACAATAGATATCGTTCCTATTGCAGAATGTCCTTTCTAATTTTTTGCTATGCACATATAATCATAATTAAAGTAAAGATTTTAAAAATAAAATATTTGACTTTATATGTTAGTTTAAATTTGTATTGTAAATGTTATATTGTTATGCATTTGTATATTTTTTACATAGGTATGGGGAAGGAAGTAGAAAATCTCATTATGGAAAACAATGAACTGCTAGCCACCAAGTAAGTTTTGCAGCTAGTATTTAAAAAGATATATACTTATTACATATGTAAAAATTTTCATAATCTAATGTATTTTTTTACAGAAATGCGCTTAATGTTGTGAAGGATGATCTGATTGTTAAGGTGGATGAATTAACGAGGTGAGTTATTGTTAAACTTTGTCCTTACTTGTCCAAATCTTGTTATAATTTTGGGACATTATTGGACATCTAAATTTGTAGTGAACAAGAGATATTGCGCGAAGAGGTTCGAGGTTTACAACAGGCACGAGATCGATTACGGCAACGTGTCGCCGCGCTCGAGGAGGAACTGAAGAAGACCAAGGAGGAGGCGGAATCTGCGGCTAAAGCGACAAAGAGTGATGACGAGGAGGACGTGCCGTTGTCTCAGAGGAAACGGTTTACGCGGGTGGAGATGGCGAGGGTGCTCATGGAACGTAATCAATACAAGGAAAGATTTATGGAACTTCAAGAGGCCGTCAGATGGACGGAGATGATACGAGCCAGCAAGACCGACCCTTCCAGCATCTCGGGAGGGAAAGGTTCAGTGTGGAAGTTGTACGTTTACTATACGACATGTTTGCTAAACTGAAGAGGACCGAGGAGAAAATAGTTAATCCAACGTTTTTGGTTCAGTTTTAGTAATCTCTTTACGGGACCGGCCGATCGAGGGACTTTGGTACGTTCCACGCACACGTTACCGCATGTACGTTATAGTGCCCCGGCTAACCAGGTCGTACCAGCGCCGCCTTTGGACGCCATGCGTAGACGTACGTTGAAAAGTCGCCAAGACTTTCTCGACCAAGGAGACACCATGTGAGAAATCAATCAAATTTTATACATGCACGTAGATATCACGTCGATTTGACATCGGGACCTGCCTAATTTTATCTGATTAGTTAGACGATATTTCTGTTTCTTCTTATCATATTACGCTTTCTTTATATTTCATCACTATTTAATAACCATGAGTTCACTTTTTACCAAGAAAATTATTTCTCGTGGATGCACAACTCTACACAGGTTCAATTCAATGCGTTACTTTTATTCCGATGCTTTTTGCTATCAAAATCGTGGTAACGAACGTAAAGGTAATACTATTTTATCGTAGCTTACTTGGGACAAAGCCATAAAAACAAAAAGAACGAAGTAGACCGTTCTGGCGTGACTTTCTAAATTGCTCATCTTTACAGATTAGAATCCTCTTTGGTCAGTTGGGATCCATAAACTTTTGTGTCACGATTCGGTTATTAGTCTCAATTGCTCTAAAGAGAGATGTGAGTTTCTTTTAGATAATATAGCCTATGTAACTGACTGGTTTGCGCGCATTGCTGCAGTACATGTACTAATCAGTCCTCGTACTAGTTTTGTTATACCGTTTGACATTTATTAATCAGTATCTAAAGAATAGCGTATTATTGGATTTAGTTTTATTCATTGTATCTTTGTGCAAAGATCTGATCGTCAAAATTCAAATGACAAGACGTTTTACGACAGGTTAAGAAGAAGTATGACAGATTAAAATTATTATTCTTTTCTTATTCTACTCTGTTTACTATATATCTATCTTTACTTTTACATCCTTCACAAACAAAAGATTCCTTAATTATTATCGAGAGTTTTGGCATGGTTTGTATATTATACTATGATGACATATGTGATTATATCGCTCATAAGTGTGCAAGAATTGCACATTAGGCTGTCAAATAAATTATTTATCAATTTTTTTTCATAGTAATGTCTGGAAAAAAAAAATAATTTTGTAAATACGAATTTGTACAATTTTTGGAAAAATAATAATATACGATCATTATTGATCGAAAGAAATAAATGAAGTTTTGATTACGTTATAAACTTGGCCTTTATTTCACTCTTGTTACTGCGCTTTTGGTCTTTTCGTTCGGGTTACGTCCTTGCCTCTCCTTCATGGCGTTGTCAAGAGATACCTGGTTTTTCTGGCTTTCGGTGGGGTGCTTATTGGTCAGCAGGTAAATCTGTTCCGCTCTACTCTTCTAACTTTTCGCCTCAACATCAGACATCATAAGACATACGATTTCATAAGATGTATTCGTTTTTTACTTAACGTACATACACTCTATGTATACATTATTAACAAATTCGCAAGAGGGAGACGTTGTATTGTCATTGCTGTATCAGTGAAGATGGAACCAAATGATCGAGGATGTGTGTGGTGAAAATGGACGGTAGCGTGCGATGACGAACAGCAGTTACAGTATACTAACTCGGAAAAGTTGTAGTCATCTTCTCCCTTCTTGAACAGAAGCTCTCTCGAGCGCGTGACAATTAACGTATCTATTCGTGTCCTCTTTACAGATCGTCCGAAAAACTCGTAGCGAGACGTGCGAGCGAACGAAGAGAACAGTATCGCCAGGTACGAGCGCACGTCAGGAAGGAGGATGGTCGTCTTCAGGCGTACGGATGGAGTTTACCGGGGAAGCCTAGCGCACCTGTCAGACAGCCTGTCCCGGTGCCGGTGTATTGCCGACCGCTGCAAGAAACCGAGCCTGGTATGAAGGTATGTATTATGTTCATCAGGTCGATGACTAAAAGATTGGTAAGATCGAAACGTTATCGGCGCAGATTTGGTGCGGTGCCGGTGTCAACCTGGGCGGCGGTAAGACACGCGACGGCGGTTGCATGATCGGCGGAAGCGTATTTTACGCCGCAGAGGCGCGAGAAACGAGCAACACGAAGACGGACGCAGAAGATGCGGTTGAGCATTTGGACAAAGAGCTCCAGGAGAACGAGAACCGGCGACTTGAGGCGGAACGATGGGATCAGCAACTCAGTTCGCTTGTCTGGATCTGCACTTCGACGCAGAAAATGTCGAAGGTCACTGTGATAGACGCAAATAATCCGGCGGACATTCTAGAGGTGTTCAATGTTTGTCAGGGACACTTGCTTTGCATCGCCAGCGTACCCGGTGCCAAAGAGAGCGATTACATTCAGTCCTCGAATGAAAATTCGATTCGTACGACAAACGGGACTAACGACAGTGAGAACAACAACGGCGTCAGCGAGGACGTTACGAATGCGAACGAGAGTAACGAGCAGAACGATCAGAAAAATCATCAGGACGGTGAAGCTGACAAGAGCAAGAGCGAATCCGACAATCCGTCTGATGATCAGGCGAACGAGAATACCGAGAAAACCGTCATGACAGATCAGAATTCAACAAACGAACCCCAGAGTCTGGAAAGTATAGATAGCGAAATGGCAAACCTGGGAAAGGTTCACTTTGTACGGTACAACGCGGAAGTGTTTCCGTCACGGTTGAACGGCAAAGATACCGTGAACGAAGAGGCGAAGGAGGAAGAGGTCGTCGAAGAAACGCCAATCGAAAAAATGTCGTCTATACAACCGACCATGTGGTTGGGTGCTCAAAACGGCGCGGTTTTCGTTCATTCAGCCGTGGCCAAATGGTCGGTGTGCTTGCATTCCGTTAAGCTAAGAGATGCAGCGTTAGCCATTGTGTATGTAACTTCTCGAATAGTAATCGATATCTTGTTTATTTGTTAGTGCAATAGATAAAACTCTTTTTCCTTTTTCTTCTCATTAGACACGTGCAAGGTCGAGTACTAGTCGCTTTGGCGGATGGCACTGTAACGATATTTCGCAGAGGCGCGGATGGACAGTGGGATTTGTCCCAATATCATGTGATTACACTCGGTAGCCCTCAACATTCCATCAGGTGCATGACCGCGGTCAGCGGAAAAACCGTGTGGTGCGGATACAGAAACAAGATTCACGTGATCGATCCTATTTCTATGACGCTCGAGGTGCGAAGTAAAAACGGATGTAATTGAAAAGCATGTTTCCGTGTTTAGAAATATATGTACGGTTTTTCACTGTTTTTTTTATTAATGTCTAATTAATATAAAACTTTTTTTACAGTGCACAGTTGATGCACATCCTCGCAGAGAATCTCAAGTGCGGCAGCTGGCCTGGTTGGGCGAGGGTGTGTGGGTCAGCATCAGACTTGACTCTACGTTAAGGCTCTATCACGCTCATACTTATCAACATCTGCAAGACGTCGATATAGAGCCGTACGTCAGCAAGATGCTCGGTACGGGCAAGCTCGGATTCTCCTTCGTGCGCATTACCGCTTTATTAATTTCCTCAAACAGGCTGTGGATCGGTACCGGTAACGGAGTGATAATTTCAGTACCGTTGTCAGAAAGTGAGTTAAACAGTTAAATGTAAGAAGTATATCTGGACATCGACATTAGCTAATCCATGTTCTGTAGGTGCAGGTGGTTCAATGGCGGTGTCCAGAGTGCAAGCAGCAGGTAACAAAGGCGACGCGCCGGGCGTTGGTGTCAGGATCTTCGCGTCGGATCGCGGCGTCACGCCGGGAAGCTTTATACCTTACTGCAGCATGGCTCACGCCCAACTCAGCTTTCATGGACACAGAGACGCTGTGAAAATGTTTGTTGCTGTACCTGGTGAGTGTCTTAAATATTAATGAAAATAAGTATTTGCCATTGCTTATCGTGAGACTATTTAAAGAATTTAATCCTTTCTCAAACAAGAATTGTCTACATTTTTCCTTTCTTTCAGGTCATGGTGGTCAGAGCGCGATAACGGACGGAACACAGCCGGCAATGCTTGTTCTCTCCGGTGGTGAGGGTTATATTGACTTCAGAGTCGGTAAGTAAATTTTACTCGTTATAAGGTATATCGTGTTTGTTAAATTACAAGTCTCAAATAACGATTTTGTAAAAAAACGTTGCGGAGAAATACGAATTCTTCTTTATTATCATTGTGATTACTTATAATACGTTTTATAAGAAAATTGTAAAGATTTTTGTATTTTTTTTTAGTAATCTATTATTGTAATTTCAGCGGAAGAGGCTGAAGACGAGAGTGATGTGGCAACACACCTAATTGTGTGGCAGATGGTCAGGTATGCCCCCAGAGAGAAGCAAGAAGTAACTGATACCTGTTCTTAATTTCAATCAGCATTCTTCACCCTATCCTATCTTGAAACAAATGTCTCATTAATATTCGGTGCATCCTTTACTAACAGAACGACGTTTCCTACTGTTGCACGATACAATAAAGTCGACTAACAGCATCTTTACAATCTAGACAATTCAAAGCAATGCAAAATGGTTTCATCATTCTTTACATAGAACATACGTATGAACCTATGAAATATCAAATTTTACAGATTGCTTATACATTTAATGCACACGCGCATAGTTTAACGTTAAATTTCAGAATTGATTAAATATAAAGAAAAATATTGGACTCTTACTTCTTATGCAATTATAAAAAAAAAGCATTATACATTGCTTCTTTTATTCTCTGGGGGTTGGGCTTTCCCACCTGTCATGCATCGTGTCTTGTACAAAGTGCCACTTATACTTGCACTGTCTCCTATCAACCGGGCAACGAAATTTATTCGATAGAACAATGACAAACTCGTGATTATTTTATAGGTGACGGAGATGAAACAGAAGAGGGTATGGATCGGTCGAACGCCGCCGTCAACAATTCGGAGGAACACGGTGAGCAGAGTCATCTGATTGTGTGGCAGGTGCAGTGTCCATTACCAATGCCAATGAATGGCTAGCCTACGGACGGAGATATCGAGCGCGAATTGGCGAACGATTTAGCTTGCGACACAACGTTGTCGATGGACGATCATTGGATCGTGAATTGCGGTTTGTTGGACGCGATTATACCGGGGCGAGCGGTCTTCGTCGCCGCAAACTAATGTGCTAATTATCTATCTATTTAGATTGTGTAACAATCGTAGCAGAATACGTTAACAAATTTCAAAGCAACTAGTGCGATTTCGCGTTAGCGGAGCAAAACGGCACCAACGAAAGGTCGAGTCATTTTCTTTCGTAGTTTCACGAGCGATCGTGTTGTCCTGTCTTGCAACAGAAGCGCGTCGGAAGATTCTCGAGTCTCTCCACGTTGCGACTAGAATCTCAATTCTTCAATGCCGACAACTTCTCGCTTCTCTCGCGTCAAGCCGCATCCCAACCCTTAGGCTTTTGCGTACGAATCGAGTGCGACGATAGGATCGAATTATCTCACACGCCAAGATTTTTCCTGTGCCGATATTGGTCAGACGAGTGTTCATTTCGGAATATCGCGCTCCACGGACAGAAATGCTGGTAAGTCCGTCGACCGTAATTTCCGGCAATCATTGTGATAATACGACGAAGATGTTAACACACGAGGCGATGAGTTTTGACGAGCTGCTGCCGTGACACACACATCACCGTAACAAGGATTCATTTGTTCGAAGTACCTCGCGTATGTACCTGTCGTTCGCGATCTCCCGCAATCGCCGTTCATATATGCGGTACGCGCGGAAGATGTAATAAGGTGCGTGCGACTCAGGCAAACTTCTAGGCGTAATATAACATTATTTTACGTCGGGAAGTATATTATTTTCCTGACCTAACCGATTTTATTCGCGTACAACGTATGGAGCAAAATGGTAATAACAATAATAATATATAATAATAATTAAATATAATATATACTCCGTTTCTCTCCTTGATTAAATATCAATGATGTAAATAATAATATGTTTATATATAGCGCCGTGTGTATGTGTAGATCCGTGATACAAGTTCTCTTTATGTCAGCTGCGTGAGCTGATCGTTTTACGTACGCCAAGCAACAAATTCTGTACAAATTCTGTACGGGAAGGTAGAAAAATACTTGACATATGCTGCTTAGTGTAATGCAAAAATTTGATCGAGTTGGCAAAAATCAGCTGCACGTGATACATGCGATGCTAGCAATTGTTAACTTAAATACAGCGGAAATCAGCGACACTGCTTTTTTTCCTGTATTCTTGTCGGCAGCAGCTGCAGCCACAGCAGCAAGACAGCAGTATTATAAGTAATTGTATAAATAACTGTAACGTTTATTAGTTAAATTATTAATATTCGTTTCACCTTTTACTTCTTGATCAAGTTAGATCGTGCTCGGCGAAACGTAGCGTCTTTCCGCGGCTCGTGTGATCGTTAGAAGCGACAGAACCGACGATGTACATAATAATAATATAGCGCCGTATGTGTGTAGATCTATAATTGAATTTATTCTTCGTGTCGGTTGTAACGAAAGAACAAAGTCATTTTACACATGCGCGTAAACCAGTGTCCTCTCAGTTTTTGCGACCTTAACATCGCCCACAGTGCTACCAAAGAGATGAAATTGTAATAATTCGATTATATTGTTTGTATAAATTGCGTCGGAAACTCTGTTTCGTATTTCTGAATGACCTCGCGCATAAGTCGACGTAGAACGTTTGCATTTTTCGGTGGTCGACAGTACCACTGATAATATCGATCCGTGGTGATACAAATTTTGTAAAGTTCCCACGTTGAAAGAAACGCGCGACGCGGCACGACGGTTTAGGATACGATAGAAGAGCTGCGCAATTATCGTGCTGAGCTGGCTTTCGATGTCGAGCTCGGAACTGTACCTGGCTCGGGTGGCGTTGTAACGGCATTAATAAACGAAATTGCGGAAACAGACTTTTTCGCCACCATCTTCCTGTTATTGCACATCATTGAAATTGAATATTCGCGCGCGCACAAACAGCGCGCATAAACGTTGCTTTTCTAGAACGAAGAGAAAATTGGAGTTTATAATAAGCGCGTGTTACGATTATTTGTCGAGTAGATGTATACATATATATTTTTTTGTTATGAAGAAAGTTAAATTTGCTACGCTTATCAGTGTTTTTAATTTTTCAAAAATATCTTTAAATCTTGAACATGAACATCATTCATCAACGTGTTGATGAACATATTTTCATTTTCATATCACACTCTGATCGATCTATCGTATTTTTTTTAACTATTTCAAGTCACAGCAAATAAACTATAGTCTGTTCTTTTCAACTGCACTGCTGAACTAGTATGATAGCCAATTAGTGCAAACTTTTGGACAGCTTGCATATATTTCACTTGGATTTCTGTACGTTTTAATTAGCTGTAATTATATTTTCGACGTGAGAAGATAACGATATAATCTAATCGTCGTATAGAAGATTCGAGGTACGCGATATCACTTTTTCTCGATGATTTTATCAGATTAACCTATGAATTGTCACCGTGTCAACATATAAAAAATTTATATTTATGTATTTCTCCGTTTCCTTTGTTTCTCCTAAAAAAATGCGATCCTTATCAAAGGATTTCTAAAAAGCATCTTAAAAATGTCTAAAAGACATCTTTTAGAAGTTTATGCTATATGAGTTAGTACGATTCCTATTGACATTTTATATATAGCCCTGAAACTGTAACCATTATAATACTATACATTTACTTTGGTGTTGTACATAAACAGATATATAGCTCCTGTTGTAAATATGAAAATAAATAATTTATTAAATCACACAACTCTAAATTTACAATTAAATTCGCATTAAACGAGAGTCACGTTCCTTCAAAAGTACGACTTGTATACATATATTTAAATTGCAAAGAGAGGCAAAGAAAGCGTGCGTATAAAAATATATGAAAGCATATTTAAATTAAGAACATACTCCAATCTCCACAAAATACAGAAAAGTAAGATCAAGACTAAAAGATTTGTTGGGTCCATTTTAGAAACGACCAATAAGAAAAAGTGTACACGAAAGGTGCAATCGGATCAACGGCCGCGACCGCGGCAAAGTTCAGATCGAAAGGATCTAGGGACCTGCGATCCAGCCGAAAGATGACGAAAGTATGCGCGCACCTCACCCGCCTCTTTCGAATAGTCCCGCCGGCATTCCACGGTTACTGTCTGGCCGCAACGTGTACACGTTCCCACCCATCGTCCTTCGTGTTGGAGTTACACGGACATGATATAAGCACGCCGCGATCGCCACCGGGTGGTTGTTTCTACTCGTCACGTCGTTGCGAGACGCCGGGGAACGCATTCACCGCATTACTCGTTAGAAATTACAGCAGCTGCGGAAAAGCGATCGTTGACAAAATGGCCTGCCCGGTTCGAGATCCCGCGTCGGAGCAGTTGAACGATTACAAGAAGAATTACAAGGTATGCAATGGTACTCGCGCCTCTGCACGTCACGTATACACGCCTGTGTTCAGCTTCTTGACAGAGTTAAGTCAAGCGGGATTAGCTAAGATACGCAGTTGCGATCAGCGGTTCTCAAACCGTTCCTCGCCGGCAAATGACACATGCACGATTCTGATCGCTGCGTCGAGAAAATGAAGATATTTTTTTTTATTGCTCTCTTTTAGGATAATGCGTTTCGAGGTCTGTGCGATTTCTAAAGACAAATTATCGACTTAGAACGGAAATGCGAATTTTTATTCGTTTATGGCGAACTTATCCAACTGGATCCTGCCATCTTATCGTATGTTAAGATACCGTATCAGAGACGAGCAAAAGAGCTTGACTGTTCCAGTATCCCCTCCCGCTATATAATCGTGTTCTTTAACTTTCTAGCTGTACGGTGTCAGCTTATGAGTGTGTGATATTGAATGGCTCGAGTGAGAGACGGGAAGCGAGAATGACTTGGCTACTTTGACCTGTGATAAAAACAAGGAATATATTAAAGACGTAATGCATTTTTACATAGGAACGTATTGCGCTTGCGGTTGTAACGAACTAGTCCAGTTTGCTGCAGATAGCAACGCATCAATTAACGCTTCAAACAGGAATTGAATAATCACTAACACGATATGCGAAATGTATGTAGCTGACCGCATTTAGAAAATCTAATTACGTTTAATCGAGCATAGTTCGTTTGCTTTAATTCGCCTCTACTAAGTTCTTAATATTTTCGACAGAAAGCGAATCAAAATGAGACGAGAAAAACGAATGTCTTAAAAATTATATTTATCGCTGTCTCCTTCTCTTGGAGCAATCTTTCGTCAATTACGTTTAACGATATCTCAACGATGTTACGTGAACAACTGATATTATCCAGACTCTTGAGTAGAATTCCACCTCTACGCTTGCATAAAATGCTTTAATCGAGATTTTATTGTAAGCTATCGCAACAATAGATACGCGATAGATTATTCGGGAGAGAAGGCACATGAAATTTATGTTCAAATATGTGATTAAAATTACGAAATACGAAATAATATATCTCATAACATGCCAGAAATATATAAAAAAATAGAACGTTCGTATTAGAAAAGAAATCGTATGACTTATCGTTCCATATACAAGTTGTTCGTCAAGATCCACGTGTCACAGTATCGCGTTAAACCAAATAGAAAAGGAAATTTTCCCGAAAAATTACATCAAATAGATTTCATGTCCTGTAATATGTATCTTTTGACATGTAATTCTCAAATCTCAGTAATTACGTTGTTAAAAGTAATGCGACATATTTATTAGATGCATACGTATTTACATTGAAGTGGCTCGATTTACCAGAATTTTCAGCCTTTTTATATGAAAAAGTTTTGTGATTAGACTGCCGTTTAAATATTCATTCAAGGATGACACGAGCGACTTTGTGGTTGCTTCGAATATGACCTTACTATTGACTTCTGTACTTCGGCAGAAGAGCAACCTGTGCAATTATAGCTGATTACGTTTGCGATCAACGCAATTATACACGAAAATATGAATATGTTTTTATTTTAGACTTGAGTCTCTGGTATAAGTCACAATTGTTTGCCAACACCGACAATCTTCAAAAATAATAACACGAGTTAGAAGAAAAATTTACTAACTTTTCTCGAGTTTATAGAAATATTAACTATAAATCATGACAAAAAATTGATGTCTCGCTGAAATATTCAACAAAATGATAATATTTTATGTTTCTAAATTCATGAGACGAAAGCGCATATATTGTGCGCGATAAGATAGATACTACCATCTATGCAATTTATTTGCGTGCAAAAAGATACTTAAGTGTAATCATGTAGATATGATACGACTGTGCGCGATGTATTTTTTTTTTCTGGAATGTAATAAAATAAAATCATATCGTAGCTTAGTTATATCAACCAGTTGCGTTTAAAAATAAATATCTACTTTATGCGAAGAGAGCGTGATAACTATAACATAGAATTTCTAGTGCACTATCGTTTGTTATTGTAGAAGTTCATGAAATTTATTAATTTGTATTCGATTTTTCTTTTATTACGCGTATGTTTCTCTTACATAAGAAAAACGTGATTAAAGGATATTTATATCTGGCACCTAAAGGTTTGCGTGTCGCGGAGAATCAATCGTCGGGAGAATCCGATAGAATTTCTAAAGTGTTTACAGCGCAGTTGCACACGGCCTTGATTGATCACGAAAGAGCCAACTTGCGATTTCACTACGATATTAAAACGTAGGTCGTAACCCTTGACTATATCTTGAGACGTTTAAGATAGTAGAATCGCATTATTTTTATCTATATTTGTCGCAGAAATAATTAAGTACCGAGAGTAAAGTGTTAGAAAATCTCTTATATAATCGAGCGATTTATTTCGCACGTTAAATTATGCGTTGAAGGCGTTTCTGTTGAATGTAAGATCGCGAAAATAACTGAAGCTGTGTCATCGCGACACGATAAAGTAGTGATACGGACAAACTAAATATTTTTGCGTCCAGCGTCATTTTTGTAGAGATCTATCGTGTTAATCAAATAAAATAGCTGATTAAGTAACGCTTATCACGCGAAAGATATCAGCGAAACGCGCGCTTGCAGGTGAAATATTCGCGGGCGAGACTTTTATCCGTCGTATTTTTAAAATGCCGCTTACTCCTGTGTAATTTGCATTCCAAAAGACTTAGCAACTGCCTGAGCCGAACACATTAGGTCGACAGCAGTAATTTAAAAACAATATACACTGTGTCACGTTTGAAAAAATGCGACTTCCCAGTTATTGTGTGCTCAACGCTCTTTACTCATATCATAAAATTATATTTGAGTACGGCGAAGCATATCTTACAGAAATAATCAATATACTTACGACAAATTAAGCGCGACGCTCCGTTGATCAATTTTCGCAAATATACAAATAGATTGTCTTTTCACGACGTCCTTGGTGTGCCGCGATTCGCTAAATATTACAGTGATAATGAGCGAGGTTCCTGAATGTTGACAAGTACATGAATTTAGAGAGATTAATTAAATATAAATAAAGCAAATAACAATAACAATACGATTGACCTATAAGAGCCGTATATACTCTATATGTTAATAATATTGTTATATTATTTTACATGTACACAGAGAGTATAAAATATACATATTAGTAAATGTCGAGTACAAAAGCAATGATATTTAACTGTCAAAAATGTCGCGTGGAGAAACTTTATTTGCGTCGAAAAGATAAATGACACTATTAAAAACGTCACGGGAAATTTATGGATCGTTAGTCTCGCTTGCGGTTGTGCAGAATAATTTTTATTGCTTAATGTCAGTTTGTTCTCTTATATAATCGATTACTAACTTTTGTGCAGCTACTTGCGGCAATCGTTCGTCGAAGAAAACTCGAATTTTGTAATTTAGAGGAAAAAGTTTCTGTTTTTCGGCTGTTATTGCAAGCAATAAAATGCAGCGACGTGTTATGACACAAATGCCTCTTCAACGCTATCGTGAACGATAATTACAGCAATAAAATGTTGAAGTGGAGCGTTGATGATAGATAAATAGAAGATTTCGAAAGAGAGCCATTCCCTCGGACTTTGCTACGATCGCCGCGCACGCGATTACGTGATTTTTGTTCTATAAAACACCTATTCGACGGTACACTTCGTTTACTAACGAAATGAGCAGCGACAAGAGATCCCCTATTCATCGTGGTTTCTCTCTTTTATTTTGGAGAAAAAAGAAAAAGCGCGACCGTGGGAAAAAGTCCGATTGTGTAATTTATTTAGCTTTATAGTATCGGAAATTTAGCAAAATTTATGATATATAAGAATGATAATATTCTAGATAAAAATCTATTTCACGTACATTTATCAATAATTTTTAATTATCTATATAATATTCTTACAGGGTGAACAACCTGTATTACTGACTGCAAATGGAGCACCTATTTCTGAGAAGAAGGCCAGCCTTACGGTTGGCCCTCGTGGGCCCATGTTGTTGCAAGATTTCGTTTACCTGGACGAGATGTCGCATTTCGCCAGAGAGAGGATTCCGGAACGAGTTGTGCATGCGAAAGGAGCGGGTACGTTTGCACACAACTTTTTAAAGTTGAGAAGAAAAAATTAGATCACCGGAACTACTTATTGACTTTATGCGTAATTGCCAGGTGCGTTTGGGTATTTCGAAGTTACACATGACATCACCAAGTATAGCAAGGCTAAGGTGTTTTCCACTATCGGAAAGAGAACTCCGATCGCTATACGATGTTCCACCGTCGGTGGTGAAAGCGGTTCTGCCGATACGGTCAGGTAATAAATAAAGAAAATGCCAGTACTGCAATAAAACACTATTTAACTCTGACGCAGTAGTAAATATGCAAAGGAGATAATTGCGTTGCCACTTTTAATATTATTGCATTGACATATACATCGATGCTCTCGCTTTTTATTTTTCAAAATAAAGATACAACTAATTCGAAAATTCTCCATTCGTGTCCCTCTAATTATCATTGATACACTTATTACAATCTGTCGTTTCCAGAGATCCACGTGGCTTTGCTGTGAAATTCTACACCGAAGAGGGTATTTGGGATCTCGTTGGCAATAATACGCCCATTTTCTTCATCAAGGATCCACTCTTTTTCCCGAGTTTCATCCACACGCAAAAGAGAAATCCCGCGACGCATTTGAAAGTACGTATATGTATACATGATTTCACGTAACAAGTCACTTGTGATCTGAAGAGCGCATTAATAAAATCTCTTTGCTTAGGATGCTGACATGTTCTGGGACTTTATTTCTCTCAGGCCTGAATCGACGCATCAAGTTATGTTTCTTTTCGGTGATCGCGGTATTCCTGACGGCTACCGTCATATGAACGGCTATGGTTCTCACACGTTCAAACTGGTTAATAGCAAGAACGAGATGGTATACTGCAAATTCCACTACAAGGTGTGTTCCCTTATCTTGAACAATATTTGTTTTATTCACAAATAGCTGATTATTAATATTTAAAAATATAATGCCAGACCAATCAAGGAATCAAGAATATCCTCGCGGAAAAGGCCGCCGAGCTCAGCTCTTGTGATCCCGATTACTCGATCAGGGATCTTTATAACGCGATTTCCAAAGGAAACTATCCGTCCTGGACTCTATACATCCAAGTGATGACTGCTGAACAAGCAAAGACTTTTAGGTGGAATCCGTTTGATCTGACGAAAGTAATTATCACTTAATTTAATGAATAATTCATAATTAATGATTATTTATGTAATTATAGTAAATGCATTGTGACCATTTTAAAAATTAAATAAATTTTGGATAGATCTGGCCGCACAAGGAGTTCCCGTTGATACCAGTAGGTAAGTTAGTGTTGGATCGCAATCCTGAAAACTACTTCGCCGATGTGGAGCAAATGGCCTTCGATCCAGCGCACATGGTACCCGGTATCGAACCGAGTCCCGACAAAATGTTGCAAGGCCGACTTTTCGCCTATGGCGATACTCATAGACATCGTCTTGGTCCAAATCATCTTCAGTTGCCAGTAAATTGTCCGTATAAGGTAAGTTTTTAATGGCAAATCATGTCATTAGTAGTTAAACTTATTTTGAATATCCTTGAACACATATTTCTAATATAATTCTTTTATGCAACACAGACGATCTCCGCGATGAATTATCAGCGAGACGGCAACATGCCTTTGTATAACCAGGGTGGCGCGCCGAATTATTATCCGAACAGCTTCAGCGGCCCGAAGGAATGTCCGGCAGTGCGCTCGCCTAGCTTCCCGGTGAACGGAGACGTCGATCGTTACGATCCCAAGGACGAGGATGACTTTGGTCAGGTTACGAACTTCTGGAAGAAAGTTCTCGACGAGGCCGCTAAAGAGAGATTGGTAAAGAATATGGTCGGGAGTCTACGTGGTGCGTCGACGTTCATTGTCGAGAGAGCTGTGCGAAACTTCGCTCAAGTTGACGTTGATCTCGCGCAGAGATTAACAGAGGGCTTACGTAAAAGCGGGATGCTCATCAACGCCTTAGGCAGATCGGCTAACCTCTGAAAAGGATGCGCACTCGTTCCACTCAACTTCTACGTTTTTTTCCATAAGATTTTGTATTGATCGGATATGTTTGTCGAATTACGGCCGAAACTATTTCTCTCGTATATTTGAACTATTGTATATCGCTCTTAGCGATAATTAGCGTTAATGCGCTAATTAGATCTAATGTAATACTAATGCCTTTCTTTTCCTTACGAGGGTGTGGGTGTGTAACCATTAGTGCCTATAACATGATATAATACGGCATCTACATGTATAATGCACGCTAATTGTTCGAAGACGATTAAGATCAAAATGTATCATACAATTGTTTGATATTTTAAGATATTATATTTTGCTACGAATTACAATATACATGTATACTATTGAAAATTGTATGATTTTTTCTAAAAAGACGAGATGGGGATTTGTATGTAAATAAAATTTTTGAAATCATTAACAATTGCATCGTATCCCAATCGTGTGTTTGTAGTGTTCGCTACTTGCTCCTTTCTAACCTTGAATAAACAAAATGAAATACCCGATTTTACTTTCGCGCGAATTCAAGGTAGGCGACAATGAGTCACATAACCAATTAGGGCAACTTGTACAACAAAGACACTTCAACTGCATTTAAACTGCATTCGAAGCACGCTCGTTCTCACTCGACGTTTCGAAATTGAGTTTGAAATCTCGTGAGATCCGCGACAAGTATGTTTTGTTCCGTGAAATTCGATTTTGTAGATTAAAAACTGAAAAGTGTACTTCGAGTGTACTTGCTTACGTTTAAATGCGCGCTTCGGCATGACACTTCCGGTCGAACTTCTCATCTGACAGTCCGAAATGTTGTAGGGTACACAACTCACAGCTGTGACCCAAAATCGTTCAGTCAACGCGGGATGCTACCAGCAAGCACACGCGTTTGCAGATAAATCTAATGTGTCGACAGGTCTAAAGCTGCTGGAAAGCCGGAGGATCCTCTTCTGCGCGCGAACACAATAACCAAATTCGCATCGCGCGATTAACCTGATCACGGTAAAAAGACACACTTGTTCGTGCAGCGCACGTATTTACAGAGTCTAGCTACGATTTCATCGTGGGTGTTCTTTTTATAGATAGGCTCTGACCTCCTTCGCCACTCGAAGGGAGAATTCGACTAGCAGTCTCTCTGCGTACAGACCATGCTACAGCCAGCCTTTTAAATAGCATAAACATTGACACTCGACGCTATGCCAGACAGGTATATATCAAGTTGTGTTTATATCAAGATTCGATGAACTTATCCACTTATGTTTTTTTTTATGAATAAAATCTTATGTATTCTATTTGGTTCTATATACTCTCTACAATTTTGTAACAGTGTATTCAATTATTTCTTTACAAACATGCGTGACTAATTCATTTGCATTTTGCAATATTTTGTCAGTATATTTTGTCATAATCTGACGATATTTTATCAGGAGCAAAGTTTTGGTTGGTGCTGGAGTAATTTGGGGTGTAACTCTTTGCTGTCTTTTATTTAGTCGCAAGTTGAGGCCCATGGCATTGTTAAATTTCATTCCTACTATCTTATATCGGTCAGTTTATCATTATCTGATAAGAATATAGAGTGTTTGCAGGATTTTGTGTTTGCTTTGTTACTAATCGCGAAAAGAATATAAAATATTTAATACTGATCTCTCAGCCAATCAGTTAAATATAACAATTGAAAGCTATGTTATATTATTTTTATAAATAATTTTGGTGGGTAATGTTTGTTCTTTAATTATTATTTCAAATTTTGGATTGAATAACCTATCCTAATGTGCTTTCTACTTATCTTTCATTTTGCATACAAATTTTCTCATTATCATAGCGATAAAAAAATGGAGAATGAAGATGAACAAAAACATAATGTCAATAAGGCTAGTACATCAATAGACTGTGATACTAATGTACATAAAACAACACAAAATGAAATGCAAAATAGGTACGTAATTGGGCTTTATAATAAAACTATAATAAAAATATAATATATAAGAGGATGTTTTTTGTCTGCAGACAACCAACACCAAATTTTATGATGGGTGGATTGACAGGAGCGTCACCACCAAAATTCGTATCTTTTGACGAAATTGTAAAAGCTGCCAATGGAATGAAAAATATGGCCTTAGCACACGAAATCGCGGTAGACAAAAATTTTCAACTGCAGAAACTAGAGCCAGAAGATGGTAGTTTTCATAGGCGAGTAAAAGAAATAATGCACAAAGCTTTTTGGAATCTGTTAGCGGAGCAGTTGGCCGAAGATCCACCAGATTATTCACACGCACTGGTTTTATTGAAAGAAATTAAAGAAGTAATAATTTTTTTTCATTTACAACAGCAAAGGAAATATCAATTGTTGTCTGATAACATTCTTTTTTCTTTATTTCAGTCACTGGATGAGTTGGTGCCACCACAGAATTCGAAAATCAAAGATAATATTAGAGAGGTGCTTGACCTAGATTTAATTAAACAACAAACAGAAAAGGGCGTTTTAGATTTTCATCATTATGCCCAATATATAATCTCCATAATGAGTAAGATATGTGCGCCAGTCAGAGACGAAAAAATCAGAGAGCTTACGCAGCAGACGGACATTATCGAGACGTTTAAAGGTGTTATGGAATTGTTACAATTAATGAGATTGGACTTGGCAAATTTTACCATTACTATGATGAGACCAAATATCATCGCCTCGAGTATTGAGTATGAGAAGGCAAAGTTTGCCGAATTTTTAAAAATTAATTCAAATGGTTTGCAATACACAGAAAGATGGTTATTAAGGCATTTTGACCCGGAAAAGATCACGGACTCGTCGACCTCTAGTACTGGCAATATAAGACAACTTACTCACTCCTTGTTGACTGAAGCATACCTTGATCTTCTAGAATGGGATTTTAGCCCAGACGCTGAAGTATGAAATTAGTTTTTTTATGGTATAAAATTTCATTTTACTTGACGTGTTAGTTATAAATTCTCATTTTCACTTAGACCTTGATGCTGGACCAAGGAAGACTCCTGGAATTGCGTGACATAACTAGTAGATTGAGTGTCGTTGGTGCTGTAATATTGTTGATTAATAATACGATTGGTGCACCGATTCACGGAGTTTCAAACTTTAAGAAGAATATCAAAGAACATTTGAATGTATTATTAGACTCTGTACATTCTAACAAGTATGTTCAGTCGTAATCGAAGATAAATTGTAATAAAAATATATCAAAAATATCTAAAATTTGTATTTTCCTTTCAGAGATCTAGAAACTGCAATGCCAAATATTGTGCTACAAGTAAAAACAGACGTCAAAACTACATTACGAGAAGTCAACGCTCCTGACTTATCCCCGGAAGTGGAAACATTGTTGGAGGGTCAGATAACCGACTTGATAGACACGAAACATAAGATCAGATACCTCGTCAGTGAGTAGGACATTAAATATATAATAAATAATATTTTTTGTCTACAAATAAATATCTTTTTTAGGCTTACGAATTAGACAATTTCTGCAGAAGATCATACTCTCGCAATCTATTGCGCCCCAACAAGTACCACCAGGTCTCTCCTCACTGCAAGAAGAGTTAACAGCGATCGCGGCCCGATTCGTTATACTTGTTGCGCATAATCGGAGCGTATTCGGAGAATATTATCAAGACATTGTTGCAAACGCGCTTGCAAGAAGTGACGTTGACAATAACAAAGAAGTACATGGAGCACATACAATGGAATTATAAAAAGAATGGAAAGATAGTTTTAGATATGTATAAATATTGTTAATACACTTGGATCTCGTTATGGTCGTTTCTAAAGTTATAATTTTACTCATTTATCCTCTATTATACATCTCAACTTTTATCAATCCAGTTTTGTACTGCATGGGAATGGTGTGACACGAAGAATTAATTTTCTTTTTTGTAGTACTATATTGAGACACACTGTATCGAGGTACGAGTGTATATAATTTTTCATATTTATGTCCATCTAATTGTATAATGGGCAATATTCGCAAATTATATACATGATTAACAAAGTAGAAAAAGTATCTGTATTTATTGTTGTTACTTATTAGAAATCGACGAAGATGATCATTAACAATATATTTCTTTTTTACTATAACATATTATTTATGATACGTACACACTTATATTGATGTATGATATATCTACTAATGAAATTAGTGATATATTTAAGTGGCAGTTTTTTTCCATTAGTATTTCAACGTAAATTAATTTATAAATTTTTCTTATAAAGAATGCATCAAAGATCGTAAAGTATGATATAACATATATATACGTGAATTACGCGTATATTAAATGTAAAAACTAGTATTTATAATTATTGGTAATTATTTTTTATATTGTTATTACGTAAATGGAAAATATCTTTCAAATCTTTTCTTGATTTCGCCATAATGATAGCGTCATTTTATATTCAGTATGAATAATCTTGTCAATAGTTAAAGAAACTAACATAAATATAAATATAAAAAAAATTGTTTATTAGTCTATACCAAAAATAGTTTATACGATTAAATAAATAATATATACATATATATCCACGACATCTGCATTATATATCTTAAATACTCTAAGTTGGTATTATTAAGGACATTTTAAATTTTTTGTATAATTCTCAAAAGTTGCTATATGTTGTTTTTTTAGAAAACTTTTAAATCCTGAAAGCAGTAAAAGATATATTTTTCTAGTTAACTTATTTTTGCTGCTTAATATAAAAGATCTTTCATTCTTATCGTGTCTTATCATATAACTTACTATATATCTTAATAATCTATAAAAAAAATATATATATCTTAATAATCTATAAAAGATATTTTACACTTACCTATGAACAAATGTTGCAACTGTTTGTTCGATGGAAATAAATTCGATAATGTTTTCAATAATTCGTCAAAATCGCCACTTTGTGTATACCTCTGTATCATTGCCGCGAATAACTTATAATCACTCGCTGTTAATGCTTGTTTTACCTATAAGTATATTTAAATTAAAGTTGTATCATTTTCTATCATAAAAGTATCATTGAACAATTATATACTTACATCTTTTAAATATTGTTTTCCTAGTGCCTTTTTGTCATCCTTGTTCGCTTCTTTATCAGTTTGTGTGAAATTTACAGAAACGCTTTCTGGAACTGCCGACGGAACGGTTGGAGGGCCAGAAAAATATGTATCAACTTTAGACGGCAAAATATTAATTTTTCTTCGTTTTATAGTTGGTTCATCAACATGTTTCGCTAGTTCGCAAGTACTCTGATAATCTTTTAATTTGCAAGCACTAAAATTAATTGAGGATTGTGGCTTCAGTGACTGTTTGTCTTTTGCACCTTTATCTAAATACATATCTAAATTAAAACTATTGTTCGTTGATTCTGTTGTTAAGGTACTGTTTTGTGCTTTTTGCTTAAGTAAATGAGGCATCGTTGTTTCAAAGGTAGCACGTACAGCAGGTAGTGCGATAACGTCATTCCCGTACTGTGAATGCGTGATACTAGGTTGTGGCAGCTGAAATCATTTGTGAGTTAAAATCAATTATTTAACAACTATACAATTAATTGTATGTGGAATGTGGACTTAATTGGAGTGTCAAAACTTACAGTATTCTCCGCATATCTAAAAAATTCTCGCAATTCTTTCGTGATCATTCCGAAATTCGTAAATTTCTTGATGTATGGTCTGAGCCAAGCAGACAATTGTTTCTTAAAGTTTGGATTCTCAAACCTACAATCACAGAGTATCACAGCACCATAATCGCTTTTATGTCTTATTATTCTACCAATAGCTTGATTAACAGCCCGTGATGCTTCGAGTTGATACCATTCTTGCCCGGTTAAACCCTGAATATTAAATTTATTCATCAGTCCCACTAAAATTATCGCAGTATTATTATTTTTTAGTATTAAAATTAATGATTTTACACCTGTTTTTCTGTACTTCTTATTTCCTCCAAATATCTTTGCTTCAGCATAACTCGTGGATCTTTTAGGGGCGGAAATGGAAGACCGATGATTAATACAGCTCTACCATTTGCGTTAGCAAAGTCCAGACCTTCGCTGACTTTTCCTCTACATACCGCCATAAAAACAGCCCCTTTGCACGACGGGTCTTTAATCTTTTGGTAATATTCATTCATTACATTGATGAATCCATCCTTAGAGTTGGGTTCTACATAAATAGGCTGTTATCCGATAATTAATTTTAAACTATATTCACGAAATACACATTATTTTACAATGAGTACATTTGCATACTTGTTACCTTACGTTCGGTAATTTGTGTCCACAGACCTATATTTTGCCACTCATCTCTACACTTCTTCATAATCGGATACGAAGGAAAAAATATTAATAAACCGTGAGGCACAATGCAACTGAAGTTATATACTGTTCTTCCAAGGGATGCAATGTATTTCGGATCATTCCTGTAAAGATATAAGAATGATATATGAATGAATGATATAAAAAGATTATCGCGAATATTGTGTAGTAGCGTTTACCTCGTATTGTAAGATGAATTAAGCGGATGATTATCTGGTCCTTGACTGAGAACACCCACACATACTTGTTCCTTCGTTACAATGTGTGGGTTTTCTAATTGAACATCGATTGGTATACCAAGTTCGGATATAAATGGTTTCAACGGAGACAATGTACCGCTCGTAAGTACCACTGAACGTACTCCTTGTTCTACCATTTGTTGCATGCTACAAAGTGTATTTATTGTAGTATCCTGATATGTGTGTGATTTAAATAATATATATATTTTTTTATTAACTCATACCCAAAGCCAGGACTGAAACACCAGTAACTAATAAGTTTTCCATCTGTTTTTGTCATTGTCTTTTTGCTCTCCCAAACGTCATTCTTATAGCTCTTCTTCTGCTCTTCTGTCTGTATGTGAACTTTGTAACAGCGCTTCACTTTTTCCCTGTGACGTGCGATAGAAACACCGCTATTAAAAGCAGTCTTCAATAAATCACTAAATTTTTGCAATGCGTTTCCTTTTCTTGTAAACGGCGAAGTACTGGTAGTCGTCAGATATAAAATAATCTTCTCCAATTTGTCCACCACAATTTGCTCTTTGCCATGTGTCAACTGTTATGAAAATAATACATTAACGATATATACTTTGTATTAATATGGCGCTAAAAAACTTTAAAATTGGTTACCTCAGCTTTTTCAAGTAATTCAAAAATATATCCACCAGGCAAGGTGTCTCCTTCACTACGATTTTTCAGTTCAATAGAATCAATCGCTTTTTCCAGATCCAAAAACATGGCCTTTAAGACACATAAATCTTCTGCTGTGAAATCTTTTGGAATATTGTTCTCTGTTAGAAAGTCATTCTGTAGTTCTGTTTCCTTAGCTATATCTTGCATTACTCCAGTTACTTCTTCGATACACATTGCAACATCCGTACTACTTATCTGTAAATATACATAATTATATAATAAATTTAATTATATAATAAATTAAATCAAGGGGAAATATTTGTTTACACACCTGTAATGACGCTGCTTCTTCACAAACTTTTTCAACATTATGAGCTTCATCCAGCAGAACTACAGTATTTTGTAAATCTATACCTTGTGACTTCCGTGTTTTAGGATCCAATAGATAATTATAAGGCATAAAAACAATATCTGCATTTTGCTTTAATTCCTTTGCTAAAAAATAAGGACAACACTTGTGTTTCTGTCCAACTTTAACTAGGTCTTCTATGTCTAGTACTTCTTGTCTAAAAGTAGGATCATCCTTTCTGAAAGTATTAAAATTTATATATATATATATATATATATATATATATATATATATCCTTTTTCTATTTACATTGAAATTTATTTCATGATCATTTATTTATTAATGATTATATTTCAAGATGTTTTCCTTTATAATATACATACCTGGTCTCTACATTATTGAAATAAAAACAAGTTCTGGATTTTACTTTGGAATGGCACATATGTATCTTATTAAAAGTTGTTGTTTCTTTAGAAACCTGTGGATGTATACATAGTTGATCTCGAGATCCCAACACAGCAACAGATACATGTTTGTACGAAGTCCTCTTCAACTCATGCATAGCTTGAGAAAGTTGAGAATGTGTTCGAGATGCATAAACAATTTTAGGCATAGCCCAGCCAAAATTTTGAGGATTATCAGGTATTCCTGCTGCTTTTTCAAGTCCACTAGTTAAATGTTTAAAAAAATTTCCTCCAAGATCTTTCTTCTCAATTGCTATTACTTGAGCTTGTAATTGAGCTTTCTTTGCTAAGAGCCAACTTAAAGAAGAGCACAGTAGACTAAGAGTCTTTCCAGTTCCTGTTCAATTCATTCAATTACTATGAAACCCGTGCAGAAAATGTTAAAATATATTCATATATTTTTATATAAATATATTTTTTTCATTTCTTAAAAAAACAAAAACATTAAAATTTATTTTCTCCAGGATATTATTATTATTTAGGCTGCATTCTGATATTTTCCACTGATATTAAAAATTTATAGTTTATGTCACGTGTATCATAGATTTTCAATACTGGCAGTGAAAGCAGCAGAACGCAACCTTAGATGTTTCTACCAGTTACATTTTTTAATTGTCAAATATGTGCATATATGTAAATAAATGTAAATAAATATACCTGTAGGAGATTCCAGAACACCATGTTGACCATTTTGTAGACATTCTATCACTTTACGCATATATTCTTCTTGTACAGGGTACGGTTTAAAGGGAAAGTTGATAAGAATATCATTAATTGTGATGTCTGGCATCTTGCAAATTGATCAAAAACTTAATAATCACAACGATACTTCATAAAAAATGGCAGATTTTCCCGCTTGACAACCTAACCTAACCTAATTTCGTTTTGAGGATGAAGAGGACGCTTTAAAGAGTGTAAATTCCTTTTATTAGTGCAGAAAGTTTAGCCAGAGAGTAGCCTGATAGCATGTTCGACTGGCTCTGGGTTAATCCACTCTGGGTTATTCAGCCTACATTTATTGGTCGAAGAAATATTTATAAGCTTTTTTTTTTGGTCCATATTCTGAATTCTCTTTTATCTATAAAAGTGCCTCTAAAAGATGCTTAAGCCCGTATCAGGCTATAAATTAGGATTGAGATTGAATTGAAATTTAGTCAATCAAAGCAAAATTCATTCAACTTAAGTTTGATGAACTTTGCTCTGATTAGCCAATTTTCAATTCAATCTCAATCTTAATCCGTAGTCTGATACGAGCTTTAGGAGCCACCTGATTGGCTGAGAAGCTACATTTAAGATACTTTTAGTCCTGAGCCACAATAGGTATAGTAAGCTTTAAGCCTTAAGAAATTGACCAATCACATTATTCTCCTCAAATTTGACTGTGATTGGTCAATTTCTTAAGGCTTAAAGCTTACTACACCTATTGGGCTGCGTTCAGAAACCCTACTCGGTGAGTAGAGTAACATTTAATTAGCCAATCAGGGCAAAAGGAACTAAGATTTATTTATCCTGATTGGTTTATTAAAATAACTCTACCCATCGAGTAGGGTTTCTGAACATAGCTTTGTAGATCGGGATTTATTGATAAAAAAGGATTCAGAATATGGCTCTTTATGATTGCTAGTAGAGACTCACAGCCAACGCACAAGCATATCCGTAACATGTTGCGTTACGTTAAGTACTGACAATACAATGGCCATACCTGTACGTAAACTTAAACTTAAGTCAACGCACAAAAAAACGGCAATTTAACATGTTACGGATGTTCTTGTGCGGAGGCTCTTATGACGTCAATAATCGCTCTCGTAACGATAAACCCAAGGCCAGTCGAACACGGTATGGGTGCTTTCCAGCTACGTACACTGTGTTACACAAAACCAGTTTATTGGTGGCATATGGGAGCGTCCCGATTGACCACCGTACGATTGGACACAACCGACGAAAAGAATTATCTAGTGTATTACTAGGTCGAACCAATCATTACAATCTGTGTCCAATCGTATCGTGGTCAATCGGGTCCACCCGTGGCATATTATCTTACAAGATATTTTAGATAATATGTAACCAATAAACTGGTTTTGTGTAACACAGTATAATGTAGCTGGAAAGCACCCTATGAGAGCGACCACCAGCTTCCTTTCTTCCTTCCTTCAATTAGTCTGTTCTTTTCAGCTGTACTGCTAAACTGGTGCAATAAGTTAAATTGAGACAAGTATATGTTTTCTCACTCTAACTTATTGCACCAGTTCAGCAGTGCAGCTGAAAAGAACAGACCAAATATATGGCTCCAGGCACATTTATCAAGGCCACCAGCTTGATTTTAGTGACCAAAGCACAGATGCTATAAAAATCTATAGACATCTGTGCATTCAATAAATTACTTTTATTTTTCTAATGCACATACGAGATAAATTATTTACAATACTGTTTGTACTTTTTAACTACTCCAGTGCGCACTAGTGCAACTAAAAAAAGCAAGCAACAGGTTAAAATGAAATAGTATATATTTCTTTCTCTCTCGTAAGATTTAGCATAAACATGGCGGATCGCCCTCGTGGCCAGACTCTAATTTAATAGCGGATTCGGTTGCTTGCACTAGTGCGCACTCAGTGCGCACTAAGCTTGTTCATAGTATGTTATTATATTTAAAGATTGTCTTAAATAAATTATCAAATATTTTTAACCATAATATGATATGTACAATATCCGTACGAATCATTTTATTAGCTAAAATGTTTTTAAATATGTATTTAAGACACGATCTTAAATATGTAAGAATGTACTGTAAATAAGCCTTAACGCGCACTCAGTGCGCACTAGTGCAAGCTGTTGAATTCGCTATAAGTGTCTTTAATAGTGTCACTGTGTGACATTATTAATGTGATTGTATATGTACGCAAAATTTTAGCCATTAGTTGCGTTCAGCAAAAAAAGCTGCTTTGCAACTATTGTAAAATTCGTGAATCTGATTGGTACATGTTCTTGGATTCAACCAAAATTAAGAGCATACTCCAATCAGATTCACGAATTTTACAACAGTTGCAAAGCAGCTTTCTCTGCTGAACGCAGCCATTAGGTTAGTGGTAAAAAAGCATAAACAATGCCTGGTTGTTCCACGCCAAATTGTAAAAAAATTGTTTACTAAATATATACAGTGCACTTTTATACTCGATTGTCACAATTTTAAGAACAAAATGTTTAATAGATATGTATATAGATGCAAGATTGCATGTAAAAAACAAAAGAACCAAAGAAATATTATGGTAGTAAAACTATGACGATGCATAATACTTAAGAAAAAATAAATGTTATTTATCCATATCACACATTTATAGTTATTATTTCAAATAACATATTTTGCACATTAAGGCCTTTGCACGTAGAAAAATTTTAACCATAAGGTCGTAAGGAAACTGACCAATCAGAGTTAATTAATCTCCTTGCTTTCGAGGAATAATCGGCAGTTACGGTTAAAATTTTTCTATGTGCAAAAGCCCTTAAAGTTCTCACTTCCGATTTTATCCTAAACATGACGTCGCCGACCTAACCTTGCGTGTTGCGCGATTCTGGTTAGAGGGTTACTAGTGCGTCTAGCTCTGGCTATTGTAATTAGACTGGTGGCCGACTTTCATGCTTCTCTCTGGTTCAGCTAAATTGTAAAATCTAGTGTAATGATAGTGCAAAGTGACAAGTACAGAGAGTGTATAATGCAAGATTCTTGTTTATTAACCTAACCGCGCGCGCGGCTTGTGATTTGTTAACGTATCTTATAGCTTGGTTTGAGTTTAACCAATGAGAAGTACGACGCCAGTGGGAGAACTCTGGATGATAACGCTGCGATAAGAATTTTCGTCGTAATGAGACAACTCTGTGCTAATTGAAAAAAAATTAGTAATCCATCCACACACGAGAACAGACAGCTCGGAATTAAATTAGTGCTAAGCAGCTGATCAGTCACTAACCGGTGGGACAGCTGTGAGTAATAGACGCGACTCAATCACGTATAGGTTTGTGTTTTTTTAAATTACATCTTATCGGTTTATTTACTTAAATAGATCTGTAGTGCTATCCTATCGTGACATAGGCGGGAAAAATTAATTGGAAGAATGACAAGGCAATTTCATTTTCTACGTACGATAAGTTGAAGGTCAATAAGCATTGGTTGTTGACCTCGAAAACAATATTCCACGAAGCAAAGTGGTGATAGAGTGATAGTGGAGAGATGATAGGAGATAATGTAATATATAAGAATTCTAAAATTTGAGATTTGAAATTTTTATTGCGTAATATAGACGCAATATTTCGTTTACTTTTTTTAAAATATAATAGACATCTTTTATTCTGTTATAATTTTGAGTAAATAATATAAATATATTTAATTCTCAACAATTTTATCTCGATATAAGTTTGCTGGATAAAGATTTTGCTAAGTGAGATTTATCTTGAAACGTGTATATATTCCTGAAAAACACCAGCCTCATTTTCAGTATCTATGCATGATAAAAGGTCAGTGTTGGAAGCTTATCTTAAATAAACATATTCAAGAAGATGAATTGTGCTCATTTACTATGCTTTGTAATATATTTATTAAATATTAATGTGCTTTAACTAGTATTGTGCTTATTAACTATGTTTTATTATATGTTTTATATTTAAAGTATATATATTTTCCTTTTAACTATATATTCAAATTATCTTCTTATTTTTATACAATAACATATTTTTTTATATATTAATTCTGTTATATGTCTATTTCTGTTTTTTGCAGTGTGTGATAATTAAGAACACACGATGCGTCTGGTAATTTGTGATACAGTAGATCATGTTTCCGAATGGTCTGCAAAATATGTCTTAAAAAAAATTAAAGACTTTAATCCTAATGAAAACAAGTATTTTGTTCTCGGCCTCCCTACAGGTATATAATAATTTTTATATTGTATTTCTCATTAATTATATATAAAAATTATTATAATATTATATATAAAAATTAGACTATTTGAATATAAATTCTAGGCATTTGGGGTTGAACAAGATGGTATCAGGGAACATAAGATCTTATTAATTCTGTCTTTTTTCTGTCCAAATTGTCTAGGTGGCACACCCCTGGGAATGTACAAGAAGCTCATAGAATTTCATAAAGCAGGCAAACTCTCCTTCAAATACGTCAAGACATTCAACATGGACGAGTACGTCGATTTACCTAGAGATCATCCGGAATCCTATCATTATTACATGTATCATAACTTCTTTAAACATATAGACATCGACCCAGAAAATGTGCATATACTCGATGGAAATGCACCTGATCTTGAGAAAGAATGCGACGACTTTGAAATAAAGATAAAAGAGGCTGGTGGAATAGAATTATTTATTGGAGGTATAGTAATATTTTTATGTATTTTTATGATAACGTGAAAGAGCAGTGAATACTTCAAGAGTTTACTCACTTAAACCAAAATGCTTAAAATTATACAAAAATTTAGTATAACATATGCCGTAAAGTTTCACGTGATTTGTCTAAATTTATAGTATATCCAAATTTCGTACATATAACATTGTAGAAGTAATATAGATGATCATTATTCCAATGCAACTTTGTAAAAAGTAATACCATCTAAAATTTACTGTTATAAATGTTACATATTAGAAAACGCGGCATATAGAAAAAAAAATAGTATTTACTATACCATTTTTTTGTAATAGTTGATTGTAGGTCAGAAAACACTATTATTTTATGCTTTGAGTAACATTTTACTGAGCAAAACATAATGTAGGTAGTATTATGAAATTAGTTTCAAATTGACATTACTTAGATAGTGAAATAAATATATAAAAACGTAATTTTGTTCGATAAATAATGAATTTATGAGTAACTCCTTTGATGCGCCATTGAAAACATATACTTGAATAAACTTTTTAATATTTGCGAATATTTGAACGATTCTTTAAATACTAATTTTGCGAAATCAGGTATCGGTCCGGACGGACATATAGCTTTCAACGAACCGGGATCGTCATTAGCTTCTCGCACGAGAGTGAAGACTCTTGCGCAAGATACCTTGGAAGCTAATGCAAGATTTTTTGGCAACGATATCAACAAAGTGCCGAAACAAGCGCTGACTGTGGGCGTCGGCACTGTAATGGATGCTAAGGAAGTAATGATTCTTATCACTGGTTCTCATAAAGCATTTGCACTTTACAAAGCGATAGAGGAGGGTATCAATCATATGTGGACGGTATCTGCATTTCAACAACATCCACGTACACTCATAATTTGCGATGAGGACGCGACTCTGGAGTTACGTGTGAAAACTGTGAAGTATTTCAAGGTAATGTACAGGATGATTCAGAATTCAGTGCACAAACTTTGGGGAATGATTGAGGAGGCTAAGACATTTTTTAAGACTAAGCATTTTTTTTATTATGTAACATATGATCAGGGCAACGTGCAATTACTATGCGACGAAGTTTTCAGCTCGTGCCTAATAAATAGCTAACCAACTATACTTTGACATCAATCATCAATCTAGGTTAACAAGCTACATAAGCTATCTTTCAATCTGGACACTACATATTACTCAAAGTGTGTGTGTAGTACTCTGTGGATTGTTGAAAGGGTGAGGTATGCCGCTATAAACTTTGTTTGCAGATGAATGGAGGACACTTTGAACAATTATTATAATTCAAGATATTTTTATTAATTTTCTAATATTTTCTGTACCAGTATTTTCTCATACACATAAAACATGTAGATGGTTAGCTGTTTGTTAGATGCAATGCTGTCAACCACATGTTGTATAATAAAAACTGCTTGTCTTGTTTTCCAACAATTTTCCAAAATATATGTACTGGAAAATTGGTATACTTTGAATCATCCTTATAATGCACACTTTTCTTTGATCTGACATCTTTGTATGATAAATTGGAAGCATGCTAAATCGATGAGATGGAGATATTCATGTATATCTATAAAATTTATTCAAATCACTAAATACATTTAATTGTTCAATTTATATATGTTTATATATGTATCTATATGTATATTCGTATTCACTTTATGTACTTTATGTTTAGGCTCTCAGTGACGTACACCTCAAATTGATTGAGGAAGAAGGACATGCAATTCTTCGTCGTACAGTGCAAAACGATTGAAATGGTACTTAACAAAATTTTTTGTAATGAACATATTTTATTAGTAAAATTAACTTCCATTTTTCTTATCCCGTAAAAATTTATTAAATGTCATATTGCATGTGTGTGTATCATTTATCCTCCAAAATTTTTTCATATGTATGAAAATTGTAATAGATTCCAAACAATTACATTTACAACTCATATTTTCTTTCTTGCAGCTTTTAACAGATACTCATAACGAACTGATCGAGAAAGAAGGTGATGGACTTATACAAAAAGAATTTTAAACAATCGGAAGTATCAGCGTGCAGACGAACTCGCTGCGATTGAAATGAAATCATAAAATATAATGCAACATTTTTATATTTGTTATTTTAATCATATTTCACGTATAAAAAGATTTTTCTATACGCCGTTTTATAAACTGCCATATAAATATCAGGAAAATATATTTTTATATTATCGTTCTACTGTTCCCAGAATAAATGTATTCTTTTTATTGTATACATACACATTGCACACTTTTTGGAGACTTTTTAATAATTATTTCGACAACATAGATATTTCGTTCAAAAGGTGACTGTCGGTGGGCTAATAGTGAATGGAGCGTGATGTTTGTATGAATCATTTGAGAGAAACTGAAGGTCCTCCATGTGAAATGAGGTCAAACTGATTAAGTGACCAAGAGAAGCAGAGAATCAACGGTTCGTTTCAACGCCGCAGGCGTGGTAGATCAGTGACGACGAACTGGCTGGTTGACGGACAGTGCGCGAATCAACAAAGTAACGCCTCTTTCTTGAAGATTAATTCCATCCGGCGCCGGAGCGTGTAACGTGTCATGATATACGCGACTATGCGATTGCACAACGTGACTAAGCGTGATGCAAAAATTGATCAGATAATAGGAGCTGAATCGTGTGGTCTCTATATCATGGAATAATTGCTTAGTGGGAGCAATAACTCGCTGGTGGGAGTAGAAATGTATGAGACTTCACGTTCGAACTAACTCATCTTTTGTCATTAGCATTGTGGGTCTGACGCGAGGAGCGACAAGTGTCAGGTAGATGTGTAAATTTTATCCTACGCAATCATGAATAACGATAATCAGCTGAAAACTATCGAGTTGCGGGAGTTGCAGCCGTTACTGAGACTCTCGTTTGACGATCGCCTGATTGTGGTGCGTTATACTACCAAGAGCCTGCTACCGCCCGGCGAGAATTACGGTAGCACTATCCTGAGTATTCACGCTATTATCAAGCGTGACAACAATGCGGACGAGGAGGATCTTCATCTTGTGGCGAAGATGTCACCGCCGACAAATTACCAGCGGGAAATGTTCGACAGTCCGTACACTTTCAAAAAAGAGATCTTTATGTACGAGAATATAGTGCCTTACTACAATCAGTTAGAGAGAAAAGCTGGTCTGAAGGAGGATCAGTTATTCGACATACTGCCCAAGTATTATAAATCGCGGATGTCACTGGATCCGGAAGTTGATTTCGACGACAACGCAGTTATCCTGATGGAGAATTTGACAGTGCGTGGTTATTATATTGGCGACAGAACTAAAGGTACCGTTCGTTGAGTTCTGTACGTTTTACGTTGAGTTCTGTACTTTGTACGTTTTACGTTTTTCGTTGAGTTCTGTACTTTGTACGTTGCTACGTAAAATGATAATGGCATCTTGTAGATCACTCAAAATAACTTAGATCAATAATCTTACGATAATGATATCGTAAGAGATTTTTACCGTGAATATCTGGCATTTTACTCATATATTATGTATGAAATATAAAATGTTTCGTGGAATATTCATTCTTGATGATACTACTTGATTTTTGTATAAAAATATGATAGTTGTGTAAACTTTTTAATATAAGCGCATTAATGTACAACAATGCGCTTTTTATAGATTGCAAATAAGTGTTTCTTCACATATATATTATTACGTAACAATATTATTAATATATTATTACGTAACAAAAAATATTAAGTACGTCACATTAGAAAATTAATAGAACAAAATAATTAACAAAAAAATGAAACTAACGAGTTTGGTTAACTAACGATATATATACGTTGAAAATAGTGGCATAATAAATTGATTATAAAGATCTGTTTCGCGTCATTATGCAACACAATAACGTTTGTTTTTTTATTATCAGTACGATTTATGATTTCAGTAATGAAAACACAAATCGTTACATTAATTCTTGATACCATTTTTACTTGGTTTATGGTTATGCACAAATCTCTCTCTCTCTCTCTCTCTCTCTCTCTCTCTCTCTCTCTCTCT